TTTTAGCTTGTCACATGATGTTGCCATGACGTCACGTGACGCCCATTACACCAGCACGTGCGGACATTTCCCATCTACACAGTAATATTGCTCATTACAGAGCACTGATCCAGGGATCCAAACTCAACGTTATATATTCACTGTATCACCCAGAGCACCTCTAAACTAACGTTAATCGTTTCTTAAAATATACAGTTTAGCTCGTTAGAGTGAGGTGCAGGTGTCCCCTACTTGAAGCCTTTACAAATCTCCACTCCGAATTGTTGCGTGCGTGAGGGCTACCCTTTGTAATCTGAGCTCTTTGTAGCTGTATCTTGTTGTGGTTATTGGGGTATTATCTAGTATCCTGTGGTATTATAGTGACAACAGGGTTCTTATCTTTCCTGTAGTTGCAACAGGGTTCTTATCTTTCCTGTAGTCACAACAGGATTCTTATCTTTCGTGTAGTTGCAACAGGGTTCTTATCTTTCCTGTAGTCACAACAGGGTTCTTATCTTTCCTGTAGTCACAACAGGGTTCTTATCTTTCCTGTAGTTGCAACAGGGTTCTTATCTTTCCTGTTGTCACAACAGTGTTCTTATCTTTCCTGTAGTCACAACAGGGTTCTTATCTTTCCTGTAGTTGCAACAGGGTTCTTATCTTTCCTGTAGTCACAACAGGGTTCTTATCGTTCCTGTAGTCACAACAGGGTTCTTATCTTTCCTGTTCTTATCTTTCCTGTAGTCACAACAGGATTCTTATCTTTATTGTAGTTTCTTATCTTTCCTGTTCTTATCTTTCCTGTAGTTGCAACAGGGTTCTTATCTTTCCTGTAGTCGCAACAGGGTTCTTATCTTTCCTGTAGTCACAACAGGGTTCTTATCTTTCCTGTAGTCACAATAGGGTTCTTATCTTTCCTGTAGTCACAACAGGGTTCTTATCGTTCCTGTAGTCACAACAGGGTTCTTATCTTTCCTGTTCTTATCTTTCCTGTAGTCACAACAGGATTCTTATCTTTATTGTAGTTTCTTATCTTTCCTGTTCTTATCTTTCCTGTAGTTGCAACAGGGTTCTTATCTTTCCTGTAGTCGCAACAGGGTTCTTATCTTTCCTGTAGTCACAACAGGGTTCTTATCTTTCCTGTAGTCACAATAGGGTTCGTATCTTTCCTGTAGTCACAACAGGGTTCTTATCTTTCCTGTAGTCGCAACAGGGTTCTTATCTTTCCTGTAGTTGCAACAGGGTTCTTATCTTTCATGTAGTCACAACAGGGTTCTTATCTTTCCTGTAGTTGCAACAGGGTTCTCATCTTTCCTGTAGTCGCAACAGGGTTCTTATCTTTCCTGTAGTCACAACAGGGTTCTTATCTTTCCTGTAGTCACAACAGGGTTCTTATCTTTCCTGTAGTCACAACAGGGTTCTTATCTTTCCTGTAGTCACAACAGGGTTCTTATCTTTCCTGTAGTCACAACAGGATTCTTATCTTTCCTGTAGTCACAACAGGGTTCTTATCTTTCCTGTAGTTGCAACAGGGTTCTTATCTTTCCTGTAGTCACAGCAGGTAGTTGTTTTAGTTACAGAAAAATGTCATGTTGTATTTACAGAGATTATATTTATCGTAATTGCTACAGGGGTTTTATAAAACAGGTCATTACATTTTTAAGTAGTTTGTAGTAACTCGTGTTGCATCTTTCTGTTAGTTGTCACGGTGGTCTTAACATTTGAGAATTCGTTATAGATATCTTAATCGTGTCTTTTTCGTGTTTGATATAGCGTTACAGAGGTCTTGATGCAGCAGCAAGCTGTTTTTCGTCAAGATTCAGACATAGTTAAGAGGGACATTGATCGTTAAAAAATGACGTAAAATAAGAGATGGTAAACTGAAGCAAATAAATAGATTAGGTGACACTCGTTAAAAAAATGAGTGTCAATCAAGTCATAACTTACAAGTTACTTACTGACTTAGTTAAGCTTAGATAAACGAAAATAAAAGACAATACTTGATAAACACACTCTGTAAATAGTACAATTATTCAAATAAAAACTGGGTCAAATGGTTAAGGCCAGATTTATCATTTAAATTTTGTTCGTTGCTGACAACGAACCGTGCTTTTTGTATCTGTTGCTTGTCTAAAATGACGAGTATATTAAGGTTAGGAGGAAGGTGGTTTATCAATGCAACATTTGGCACATGAAGGAATGTCACTTCAGCTAATTTTGCAGCTAAGTGGTCGAAAAGTGGCAATGTTGCTATGGTTACACTGCCATATAAGGCAATGTTACTATGTTCGAAACGTTTCTTTCCCTGGTCAGTTTCATTGACAACATCATGAACTGGACGACTTTCTAGAGACATTCAGGGAAGAAATGTATCTGCGCCGTACAGGTTAATTATGAAATCAGCGCAGGTTAATTATGAAATCAACGCTGAACGATATGGTCCAACTTTTAGAGATTTAAATTGTACGATTTACAGCTTTTGTTTAGAGTAGTTTGTCTTTTATTTTCGTTCATCTCAACCTACGTCACAGCCTAATTTTTCTAATTTTCAATTTTCGTTTTTAGTTTTACGTTCATACGTCTCTCCTTCGTCTTAACCGTCATTTCTTTTGTTAACGTGTGTGAGCTAAGTTTACCATTATCTCTGATAATTTAACGTAATTTTCAACGATCAACGTTCAAAGCATTGAGTCTGAACTTCGCGGACACGACAGTTTGTTTAGCTTGGCAGTATTGATCGTTTAGTACGTAATTTCTGTACGAGACTACAAGTATGACGTGCAGGTATGTTGGAACATCACTTAGATCGGTCATTACTCTCTCTCAACACAAATATTAGATATACGACCTTTCAATGAGACTCAATTGATCTGTCGTTACTGGGGTCCTATCTTTCTTGGAGTGTCCAACTAAGGTAGGAAATTATTTCTGCTATTTAAAAATGTCTGTCTCCTTTCGCCAAAAATCACCATTTATTAGGAACTTCTCAGAAGAGACATGGGTCTTATCTTTTGTGTAGCCGATTAATAACATTGGGAACCGATTAATAACATTGGGAACCGGCAGATCACCGACTATTAACCCTTACCATTAAAAAAATGTTTGTTGATCTGAAGTTCAGCCAATCTTTCATATATTTATTAGAGCTAAACGGTAAACAGTAAACACTTATGTCTTAGTACGAACCAATCACTAAATTTTATTTAATTTGAACGGTTCAAGTCATTACGTTTCAGAAATTACTTAAAACTTTCTAAAGTTTACAGAACAGTGAGCTGTTTAATTAATCGAACTGATCGTAAACAGATTTAGACATTCATTTCGGTCTCAAAATTATATTTAGTACGTGTTTGGGTATGTTATTGTGCGTGAAGAGTGCGTTATATGTGCGCACCTCCCGCCTATATATAATAAGATTGCGTCGTTCATATTTGATTCATATCAGGGTCGCATGAACCTGGCACGCGCTCAATTCCAGGAATCACAGCCACTCCACGTATTACTGATGACGATATTCTGTGATATTTCTCCTTCGTTACAGTTTGACCTCTGCTCTGCCTTGAATTACATTGTTACAGTTCAGAAGGTAGAATCCCAATTAGCATCTATTTCACATCAATCATACAGAGATTCGTCTATTAATGGCCGTTTAGCTGCCTTACTTGAGACTAATGGCCGAGCTAAATGGCCGAGGAATTATGAGAACTCGTTGGCATTTTTATTCATTAAATTCTACCGTTTTTTACCCACGAAAAAGTCCCTGAAGAGTATCTTAATTTACCCTCTGAGCTGCAAATGTTATTGATGAGGATATCTTACTCATCTTTTCAACAAAACTGCTGATAGTATAATTTCCTTGCTGTAGCTGGGTTAATGTTATGTAACGATCAAATTTGGAGTTATCAACGAACAAAATTCTCTCAACCATTTATTAATCTATTAACAGAAGTCTGCTGATGTCCATAATCCGTCCATATTTCCTTCTCATTAAAATACAAATTTTGTAATATTACCTACATCAGTATTTCTTACAACTGTTTGATTTAGCTTGCAGATGGTTTACCAAGGGTGTTACACGCGCGTACTTCTATTCTTTGATAAAGATTTTTTTATCCAACTCTTACTTATATAGTCTACAGACATTGGTGTAATAATTAGCTACTACTATTATTAATCCTGGTAATATAAGTACATAATAGTATGACCCTACCTTTATTAGTACCCACTAATTACCATCTTACGTATCCAACTACTTCCGTTCCAACTTCTCGGCTGCTGCACAAAAATGCTTATCAGTGGTTATATTCAGTATTCACTACAAGGTCATAATATGACTAATAAATGAATCATCTACTGAATATGTCTATTCTATATTGTACCCGGTACCTAATTGATATTGGCCAAGGTAGATCATTTATTAAGCCTGAACAATAGACAACAATCCTGTTATTGCCATGGCAACTCTCAGTTGCCATAGCTCTTCATCATCAGTTGTAGTTAAGCCTGCAGGTAGATATTAGATAAGCAGCGTAAAGCTAATCCCTAAATAAGTTACATGCCTTAATGGAATATGGTTATGTAAATAGTATCCATAAACAGTAAGCCCTGCATTGGTAGTTCCTGAACATCCAGGTAGACGGGAAAGTCACGTGACCCAAATTTAACTAGATCTCAGCTAATATTGCTCTTCCAAATTGCCGTTTGATTCATAAATCGTAGTTAATTTCGGCTAATTTCTCATTTGATGGTTCAGGAGTGCCAACCGGTGATTTGGGTACTTTCCGGTCTGTTTTAGATCTGTGGTTGGTTTGTAATTTCAGATGTCGTCTATGATTTCTAACGTCTGACTGCGTCGAGTGGTATCTAGCTTGATATTTGAAACTTGTTTTAATTAATCTATCGGCCGCATGGTATTGCTTTCAAGCCGAGAAGGACCAAAAACATTTATTGTATGTTGTATATTTAGTTCACGTTAACTCCATAAGGAATGTAAATAATGTAACAGTTCTATCCCCAGTAAGGTATGCTCAATGAATCAGACCAGCGGTTCCACTCATCAGCTGGGCTCTCAGCCTCAGCTCTACACTAACTCTGGTCTCCTGATGACAACCAGTCAGCCGGGGTTCTTCCCTCCCCAACAACCTGGCTTCCCAGCGGTTAATCCTTACCAGGGAGGCATGGGCAGTCAGCAGTTCCAGTTTCCACAGAATCCACAGCAGGTCGGCGCGTTTCAACAGCCTGGATTTGGAATGTTAGGAGGCCAGCCGTTGGCCGGCAGTCAACAGAATTTGGGCAGCCAGCAGTTTCAGAACTTTCCGATGTTTCCTCAGCAAATGATGCAGCAGATGACAGTACAGCAGCAACAGCAGCAACTCCAACAGCTCCAGCAGCAAATGCAGCAGAGTCAGCAGCCACAACAGCAGCCACAACAGCCACAGCAGTCGCAGGCAACGAATCAACAGCAGATGCCTCCGCAACAGCAACCACAGCAGCCACAACAGCCTCAGAATCATCTGCCACAACAGCCACAGATGCCTCCGCAACAACAGCCGCCGATGCCTTCACAACAGCATCAACAGCCATCTAATCAGCAGCTGCAACATCCGCCCACGCAACATCCGCCCACGCAACAGCCGCCTCCACAACTGCCACCTCCACAACAGCCGCCTCCACAACTGCCGCCTCCACAACAGCAACCGCAGAATCCGCAGCAGCAGCAACAAATATCTCAACATCAACATCAACAGAATCAGCTCTCAAGTCAACATCTGCAGAATCAACAGAATCAGCTGCTTCATCAAAATCAACCTACTGAACAGCCTCAATACCCAAATCAGCAACAACTTCATCAACTTCAACATGGAGTCGGGCCGAACAAAATGAACACTCTTCCATCCAAATCCCCTTTCTCCGAAATCGAAATGAACCCTAGATTATCCTCAACCCTCCCCTCGAGCTTCAACTCCCTGAACAACCTTCCACCGTCTCTCCAACATAAAGATCTCCTGGAAGGGGCACACTCCAGGGCCCTGGAGAGATCTCCCTCGGTTACCTCCGGAGCTTCACACTCTCGTCCTCTGATGAAGAGCATGTCCATTGATAGGGGAGGTCGAGGAACTGATGTCTATGTGCCTAACAGTCTCACCTACCAGGTGGGTGATATAAGTTGATAGGATTGATATTCCATAGTATTTCCATCCATCATGTAATACTGAAAAAGCATTTTGAATTTTTTAAATAAGGAATTTACGCTTATCTGAATAAGTAGAACAATTTATATGGTAAACATTAAGTAAGATGGTATGAAGATAGAACTAGCTTGTAAACTATGTACCACGTTACACCACTACTCCCTTGCTCCTCAATCCTCATTGTACCTGGTTGATAGGCCGCGGTCTAACCTTGTTAACATGCTAATTGGAAGCGCTGCTAAAATAATGATTATTTAAGACTACACAGCCCGACCTGCATATATACAATAGCTATAAGTATAGCTTGATTATCCCTGAATAATAGTAGTTAAATACAATTTCCGTGCTCGTCAGCCTTTGCTTCTCCCTAATTACTCTGCAATTATCATTCGATAATGAACCAATAACCAGACGACGTACCACTTCAGGATGACCCCCACATACAGGCTTCCGTGTTACCTCACAGTGAGGTGGGGACAGTGGGTGAGCAACCGCCGCCCCACAACCAGCAGCACCCGGCAACTCCACCTGATCAGCACATCAAGCAGCACGCGCTCAACACTGAATATCACCATGACAACAGTTTCCCTGACAACTCAATACTGAGTCAGTCTGGCAATCAGATGGCTGACTACCCTGACAGCTACTCCTTTGTTAACTACGACAATACAGGTTAATATACATGCTGAGTAGTAGTGTAATTTAAGAGAAGAGAGAAGGAGAGAGAGAGAGAGAGAGAGAGGTGGAGGCACTAAGGCACTTGTACCTGCCCTAGTTGCTATTTAAGTATTCACCTTGTCTCTTTGGGCGTGTTGTTGTTTCTTGTCCCCTCTAGTTGCTGAATAGCTATTAAGCTTTTAAGTAGTTAACATTTGCCTAAGCACTAATCAGGTCACGTTTGGCTTTTCACAATCTCTTTTGGTTTTGTTTCCTCTCTTTTCACCGTTTTGGCTCTCCTTCTTAGTTTTTAGTACAGGTAAAAATTAAGCTGTTCCTTTGGCTTGTGTTTATTTTAGCTCTTCTCGATTTCTGTAACCTCTTAGACCATCCTCGCCTTCCTCATTTACTCGTTCAGTCTCAAAGACCCCAGCGCTCTCCTTCTTAGTTTTTAGTTCTTTCGTACAGGTCAAAATTGAGCTGTTCCTTTGGTTTGTGTTTCTTTTAGCTCTTCTCGATTTCTGTAACCTCTTAGACCATCCTCGCCTTCCTCATTTACTCGTTCAGTCTCAAAGACCCCAGCGCTCTCCTTCTTAGTTTTTAGTTCTTTCGTACAGGTCAAAATTGAGCTGTTCCTTTGGTTTGTGTTTCTTTTAGCTCTTCTCGATTTCTGTAACCTCTTAGACCATCCTCGCCTTCTTCATTTACTCGTTCAGTCTCAAAGACCCCAGCGCTCTCCTTCTTAGTTTTTAGTTCTTTCGTACAGGTCAAAATTGAGCTGTTCCTTTGGTTTGTGTTTCTTTTAGCTCTTCTCGATTTCTGTAACCTCTTAGACCATCCTCGCCTTCCTCATTTACTCGTTCAGTCTCAAAGACCCCAGCGCTCTCCTTCTTAGTTTTTAGTTCTTTCGTACAGGTCAAAATTGAGCTGTTCCTTTGGTTTGTGTTTCTTTTAGCTCTTCTCGATTTCTGTAACCTCTTAGACCATCCTCGCCTTCCTCAGTTACTTGTTCAGTCTCAAAGACCCCAGCGCTCTCCTTCTTAGTTTTTAGTTCTTTCGTACAGGTCAAAATTGAGCTGTTCCTTTGGTTTGTGTTTCTTTTAGCTCTTCTCGATTTCTGTAACCTCTTAGACCATCCTCGCCTTCCTCAGTTACTTGTTCAGTCTCAAAGACCCCAGCGCTCTCCTTCTTAGTTTTTAGTTCTTTCGTACAGGTCAAAATTGAGCTGTTCCTTTGGTTTGTGTTTCTTTTAGCTCTTCTCGATTTCTGTAACCTCTTAGACCATCCTCGCCTTCCTCATTTACTCGTTCAGTCTCAAAGACCCCAGCGCTCTCCTTCTTAGTTTTTAGTTCTTTCGTACAGGTCAAAATTGAGCTGTTCCTTTGGTTTGTGTTTCTTTTAGCTCTTCTCGATTTCTGTAACCTCTTAGACCGTCATCGCCTTCTTCAGTTACTTGTTCAGTCTGAAAGACCCCAGCGCTCTCCTTCTTAGTTTTTAGTTCTTTCGTACAGGTCAAAATTGAGCTGTTCCTTTGGTTTGTGTTTCTTTTAGCTCTTCTCGATTTCTGTAACCTCTTAGACCATCCTCGCCTTCCTCAGTTACTTGTTCAGTCTCAAAGACCCCAGCGCTCTCCTTCTTAGTTTTTAGTTCTTTCGTACAGGTCAAAATTGAGCTGTTCCTTTGGTTTGTGTTTCTTTTAGCTCTTCTCGATTTCTGTAACCTCTTAGACCATCCTCGCCTTCCTCATTTACTCGTTCAGTCTCAAAGACCCCAGCGCTCTCCTTCTTAGTTTTTAGTTCTTTCGTACAGGTCAAAATTGAGCTGTTCCTTTGGTTTGTGTTTCTTTTAGCTCTTCTCGATTTCTGTAACCTCTTAGACCGTCCTCGCCTTCTTCAGTTACTTGTTCAGTCTGAAAGACCCCATGGTGCACGCCGCCGCCAGACGCCGCTGCGCCGATAGATTTCTACACGCCGCCGCAAATTTCGAACTTTTAATGATATTTATCATAACGTTATAGCGGGGATGATTAACCGAATTCTTAATTTGTGACTCAGTCTAGTCTCCCGACGCAGCGTGCTGCAGCCGGTTCAGGCACGCACTCCTGAACGACCCCTGAAGGACCCGTATGTTGTTCTAAATATCCAATATCCATTAACTCCTCAAATCCTTTTAAAGATCCCAAGCTCTTTTTAATTCTGAAGCTCTAATATGGTTTAAAGCTCCTTTACTGTCTAAAGCTCTTTTAAGTCCAAAGCTTCTCAAATATCCAAAGTTCCTTTAAGATCCAAAGCTTCTCAAATATTCAAAGTTCCTTTAAGATCCAAAGCTCCCAGTGAAGGTCCTGGCGCTCTCTTAATGACTCCAATATCCCTTATCTCCCATGTTACTATGTATAGCTTCAATCATGACGGGTACCACATGACGTCATGACGTGTTCCCCGGGGGATGATATTGCTCATATATGTAGCTACCTCAGCTAGCTACCTTCACTTGGTATAATGAGTAGTAATCAGATGGTTATATTTTGAACAATTACCGTTGCCAGCTCTACTATAACTAAGATGCCTTCTCTCTCTCTCTCTCTCTCTCTCTCTCTCTCTCTCTCTCTCTCTCTCTCTCTCTCTCTCTCTCTCTCTCTCTCTCTCTCTCTCTCTCTCTCTCTCTCTCTCTCTCTCTCTCTCTCTCTCTCTCTCTCTCTCTCTGCCTCTGCCTCTGCCTGCGACCGACTCCAATAATTACGCGATAATGTTAATAATAGTATAATAATAATAGTTGTGTGATAACATACCCAATTGGAGACGCTAAAGTTTGGTTGTATTTTAGTCTAGATAATCAACTCTCTCATGATGGGTTGTTGCGCTGCACCAGTCGACAGACTCATTATCATATTGGCTATTTTCGTTGATAATAACCGCTCTTGCAGCGTAATTTTTCGACTTTTTTGCTTCGTTCTACGATCTGAGCAAGATGATCGGGAATTTGGCAGAACTGTTTGCATTGTTAGTCGTGTGGTGATTATGCCCATACACCCATTTTATAAGTGTAGTAAACGACTGCGAATATCGGTCGGTGGACACGTGGGCGACAATCTTCACAAGATTTAATAACTTTTGCATTCTAATGTCTGAGTAATGTGTCACGTTTGCTTTCAAGCGTTAATTTTAGTACTTTAATCGCCTCTTTCTTTCGTTTCTTGTAGCACATCTTCCACTTATTATGTAAAACATGTTGTTTAGTATTGGAGTTTAATCCTCTTTATTTAAGCCCGATGTCAGAAGCATACCAGTTTAATGTTTCATAATATTCTCGTTATTACTGTCGGAATTGTAAGACGAGTATTCTGTCCAATCAGACCAAACTGGAAAATGTAGACTTTGTTCTAGAAGTAGGTGAATTGACCGCCGATTGCTCTTCAGATAACATGAGTGCACAAGACAAGCTGAAAAAGGAGATGATTGAGGAGATGTACCGACAACAGATGGAGGCCCTGCAAAGGGAGCGGGGTGTTCAGTACGACCCCAAGAAGATAGACCCTAGTGAGATCAGGAAGTCGAAGAAGAGAGGAGATGACCTGTCGAGTCCCGCCTCCTCCCAGGGAAGCGGTCAAGACATCGGTCAGCCAAGACCTGGCAGACAACCCAGCGGAAATGCCGGAAATAGCGGAACAAGCGAAGTAGTACAGAAATCTGGGGGTGGTCAGCCATCGGATCAGAGAAGAGGGGAGACGCTGCAACAGCAGGCTAATGCCGGGGAGACGCTGCAACAGCATGCCGGTCCACTGGCTCAGTCACTCGAGAATCAGCTGCCTCCTGTTCCGAACCCTCGCACTCTACTGGAATCCACGCAAGACCCTCTACAAACACCTGCTACAGTAACCCAGCAGAAACCACTACCACAACAACAACAGCAACTTCCAGTAACTTTCCCCAGTCCAGCTAATCCGCAGAAGAATCTCGTTTCAAATCCAGCTGCGAACAATTTGCCTACGGGCCAATCTCAGGGAAAAATCAGCAATCAGATGAGTCAACCGTCAGTTCATCAGTCAGTTCCACATTCTCATCAAGAGATGATAAATCAGTTGCAGGCCCAATTAGGGCAAAACAAACCTGGTCCGATAAATCACGGTCAAAATCAGCCTGGTCAGATGAATCAGGGTTTCCAAAACCAGCCGGATCAGCTCAACCGCGCTCCCGCGGTCCCAAACCAAAACGTCAGTCCCCAACAATCTCAAACCATTATGGGACAGAATCCTGGGCAATTGCAGGCACAACTCAATCAAAATATGCAGCACTCGAACCATCAGATTCCAAATCAGCCAGTACCGAACCAGCTGATTCCGAATCAGCCGGTACCAAACCAGCAGTTGCAAAATCACCAGGTCCCAAATCCTGGAGCTATAAATCAGGGTCAAAATCCAGCGGCTCTGAATCATGGACAAAGCAATTTGAATCCTAATGCGCCGCAGATGGGCATGGGTTTTCAGTTTAATCCTTACCAGCAACTTGGGATGGGGAACGCTTTTCCGGGGCCATATGGTAAGTGAAGCATGAACAATTAATTCGGTTCGACAGAAATTACAGTTTCGGACGATTTTCAAAATGTCAATGCTACTCCTAACAAGTGTGTGATGATTATCTACCAATTACCACCAGACGTGGACCTCCGAATATTTCAGGTAATCCTATTATGGGTGGTGGAATGTCACAGTCTTTTTCAAACCTAAACCTAGGATCGGGTGGAACCGGGGACAGCGCGTCAAACCTCTCTCAATCCGCTAACGCTATCAACTTCCCACCTGCCTTCACCCAACCTAATATTCTGGTGAGTATTTTTATTCAGTTTTAGGTTATGTTTAAAAGATTTTCGCAGAGAGCGTTTAAGATTTCAGGGCTTTGGTTGGACGTGGACATTAATTACAGTCTGCACTCTGTAATACTAATTTTGCTAATCTTGAGGCGCCTGTAATATTGCATTATGTTACTTTAGATGAGATTTTAAATGATGATATTTAAATGATCTGCTTCAACTCCAATTTTTAAATTCGACAATAGAAGTAAGTTAGTATTAAATTAAGTAAGTTCAAAGTACATATAACTTCAAAATAAATGTAGTAAAGTTAAGTACACAGCTATGATGAGCCTCAATCAAGTTCATTGCACGTCAGTGACTAATCCCACTCCGCAAGCAGCTCAGCCTAATCACTACCACGTACTGCTATGCAGCTACTTGTGTAGATTTACCTGTCTGCTATAATCACCTCTCTTAAGTTTGGGATGATGGACATTGGTCAAGGTCAATTTGTGACGTCATAGGTCACGTGGTTTATTATTATTCATCACGCGGTCTAATTTAGTTAATTTAATGCAATGTAAACTGGGAACAGTGAACGGCAACAAATACTTTCAAATCTTGGTATGAAGCCGTGAAGCGTTCTGGTCAGGGACGCCATTTTACCGTTTAGTCGCGGTGTTTGTGAAATCGCATAATTTGCCGTACATTTTCTGCATCTTTAAGAGCCATTTACCCACTTTGGGTAGGTAAATAACTCTAAAAGAATGAAAAACTTTGCGGAATCAAAAAACTTGCGGGACCGCATAATTTACGATTCTCTTTGCCACGCCTGAATGGAACCCTACTGGAAGCGTTGTGCAACTATTTATAACCTTGTGTATCTATGACTACACTACTATTAATAACCGTGTGTATCTATGACTACACTACTATTTATAACCGTGTGTATCTATGACTACACTACTATTTATAACCGTGTGTATCTATGACTACACTACTATTTATAACCGTGTGTATCTATGACTACACTACTATTAATAACCGTGTGTATCTATGACTACACTACTATTTATAACCGTGTGTATCTATGACTACACTACTATTTATAACGGTGTGTATCTATGACTACAATACTATTTATAACCGTGTGTATCTATGACTACATTACTATTTATAACCGTGTGTATCTATGACTACAATACTATTTATAACCGTGTGTATCTATGACTACACTACTATTTATAACCGTGTGTATCTATTACTACACTACTATTTATAACCGTGTGTATCTATGACTACACTACTATTTATAACCGTGTGTATCTATGACTACACTACTATTTATAACCGTGTGTATCTATGACTACAATACTATTTATAACCGTGTGTATATATGACTACACTACTATTTATAACCGTGTGTATCTATGACTACACTACTATTTATAACCGTGTGTATCTATGACTACAATACTATTTATAACCGTGTGTATCTATGACTACACTACTATTTAGTATTTATAACCGTGTGTATCTATGACTACACTACTATTTATAACCGTGTGTATCTATGACTACACTACTATTTATAACCGTGTGTATCTATGACTACACTACTATTAATAACCGTGTGTATCTATGACTACACTACTATTTATAACCGTGTGTATCTATGACTACACTACTATTTATAACGGTGTGTATCTATGACTACAATACTATTTATAACCGTGTGTATCTATGACTACACTACTATTTATAACGGTGTGTATCTATGACTACACTACTATTTATAACCGTGTGTATCTATGACTACAATACTATTTATAACCGTGTGTATCCATGACTACATTACTATTTATAACCGTGTGTATCTATGACTACACTATTATTTTAACCGTGTGTATCTATGACTACACTACTATTTATAACCGTGTGTATCTATGACTACACTACTATTTATAACCGTGTGTATCTATGACTACACTACTATTTATAACCGTGTGTATCTATGACTACACTACTATTTATAACCGTGTGTATCTATGACTACAATACTATTAATAACCGTGTGTATCTATGACTACAATACTATTTATAACCGTGTGTATCTATGACTACAATACTATTTATAACCGTGTGTATCTATGACTACAATACTATTTATAACCGTGTGTATCTATGACTACACTACTATTTATGACCGTGTGTATCTATGACTACACTACTATTAATAACCATGTGTATCTATGACTACACTACTATTTATAACCGTGTGTATCTATGACTACACTACTATTTATAACCGTGTGTATCTATGACTACACTACTATTAATAACCGTGTGTATCTATGACTACAATACTATTTATAACCGTGTGTATCTATGACTACAATACTATTTATAACCGTGTGTATCTATGACTACACTACTATTTATAACCGTATGTATCTATGACTACACTACTATTTATAACCGTGTGTATCTATGACTACACTACTATTTATAACCGTGTGTATCTATGACTACACTACTATTAATAACCGTGTGTATCTATGACTACACTACTATTTATAACCGTGTGTATCTATGACTACACTACTATTTATAACGGTGTGTATCTATGACTACAATACTATTTATAACCGTGTGTATCTATGACTACACTACTATTTATAACGGTGTGTATCTATGACTACACTACTATTTATAACCGTGTGTATCTATGACTACAATACTATTTATAACCGTGTGTATCTATGACTACACTACTATTTATAACCGTGTGTATCTATGACTACACTACTATTTTAACCGTGTGTATCTATGACTACACTACTATTTATAACCGTGTGTATCTATGACTACACTACTATTTATAACCGTGTGTATTTATGACTACACTACTATTTATAACCGTGTGTATCTATGACTACAATACTATTTATAACCGTGTGTATCTATGACTACACTACTATTTATAACCGTGTGTATCTATGACTACAATACTATTTATAACCGTGTGTATCTATGACTACAATACTATTTATAACCGTGTGTATCTATGACTACAATACTATTTATAACCGTGTGTATCTATGACTACACTACTATTTATGACCGTGTGTATCTATGACTACACTACTATTTATAACCGTGTGTATCTATGACTACACTACTATTAATAACCGTGTGTATCTATGACTACACTACTATTTATAACCGTGTGTATCTATGACTACACTACTATTTATAACGGTGTGTATCTATGACTACAATACTATTTATAACCGTGTGTATCTATGACTACACTACTATTTATAACGGTGTGTATCTATGACTACACTACTATTTATAACCGTGTGTATCTATGACTACAATACTATTTATAACCGTGTGTATCTATGACTACACTACTATTTATAACCGTGTGTATCTATGACTACACTACTATTTATAACCGTGTGTATCTATGACTACACTACTATTTATAACCGTGTGTATCTATGACTACACTACTATTTATAACCGTGTGTATCTATGACTACAATACTATTTATAACCGTGTGTATCTATGACTACAATACTATTTATAACCGTGTGTATCTATGACTACACTATTATTTATAACCGTATGTATCTATGACTACACTACTATTTATAACCGTGTGTATCTATGACTACAATACTATTTATAACCGTGTGTATCTATGACTACAATACTATTTATAACCGTGTGTATCTATGACTACACTACTATTTATAACCGTATGTATCTATGACTACACTACTATTTATAACCGTGTGTATCTATGACTACACTACTATTTATAACCGTGTGTATCTATGACTACACTACTATTTATAACCGTGTGTATCTATGACTACACTACTATTTATAACCGTGTGTATCTATGACTACACTACTATTTAGTATTTATAACCGTGTGTATCTATGACTACACTACTATTTATAACCGTGTGTATCTATGACTACACTACTATTTATAACCGTGTGTATCTATGACTACACTACTATTTATAACGGTGTGTATCCATGACTACACTACTATTTATAACCGTGTGTATCTATGACTACAATACTATTTATAACCGTGTGTATCTATGACTACACTACTATTTATAACGGTGTGTATCCATGACTACACTACTATTTATAACCGTGTGTATCTATGACTACACTACTATTTATAACCGTTTGTATCTATGACTACAATACTATTTATAACCGTGTGTATCTATGACTACACTACTATTTATAACCGTGTGTATCTATGACTACACTACTATTTATAACCGTGTGTATCTATGACTACAATACTATTTATAACCGTGTGTATCTATGACTACACTACTATTTATAACCGTGTGTATCTATGACTACACTACTATTTATAACCGTGTGTATCTATGACTACACTACTATTTATAACCGTGTGTATCTATGACTACAATACTATTTATAACCGTGTGTATCTATGACTACACTACTATTTATAACCGTGTGTATCTATGACTACACTACTATTTATAACCGTGTGTATCTATGACTACAATACTATTTATAACCGTGTGTATCTATGACTACAATACTATTTATAACCGTGTGTATCTATGACTACACTACTATTTATAACCGTGTGTATCTATGACTACACTACTATTTATAACCGTGTGTATCTATGACTACACTACTATTTATAACCGTGTGTATCTATGACTACAATACTATTTATAACGGTGTGTATCTATGACTACACTACTATTTATAACCGTGTGTATCTATGACTACACTACTATTTATAACAGTGTGTATCTATGACTACACTACTATTTATAACCGTGTGTATCTATGACTACAATACTATTTATAACCGCGTGTATCTATGACTACACTACTATTTATAACCGTGTGTATCTATGACTACAATACTATTTATAACCGTGTGTATCTATGACTACAATACTATTTATAACCGTGTGTATCTATGACTACACTACTATTTATAACCGTGTGTATCTATGACTACAATACTATTTATAATCGTGTGTATCTATGACTACAATACTATTTATAACCGTGAGTATCTATGACTACACTACTATTTATAACCGTGTGTATCTATGACTACACTACTATTTATAACCGTGTGTATCTATGACTACAATACTATTTATAACCGTGTGTATCTATGACTACACTACTATTTATAACCGTGTGTATCTATGACTACACTACTATTTATAACCGTGTGTATCTATGACTACAATACTATTTATAACCGTGTGTATCTATGACTACACTACTATTTATAACCGTGTGTATCTATGACTACACTACTATTTATAACCGTGTGTATCTATGACTACACTACTATTAATAACCGTGTGTATCTATGACTACACTACTATTTATAACCGTGTGTATCTATGACTACACTACTATTTATAACCGTGTGTATCTATGACTACACTACTATTTATAACGGTGTGTAGCTATGACTACACTACTATTTATAACCGTGTGTATCTATGACTACACTACTATTTATAACCGTGTGTATCTATGACTACACTACTAATTCTATGACTACACTACTAATTCTACTTCAGGCGAATCTGTCTCCCCAGCAACAACTGCTTCTGATCCAGAACCCTCAATTACTCTACAACTACCAGCAGCTCCTTGCAATGCAGTCCATACAACCAGGTTATATTCCAAAATTTCGGACAATTTATCTTATTACCTAGATGTAATTATCTAATTAATTATGTGATTACCCCTGGATCAGAGAAGGATCAGGTGGTTGGATCTCGGTGATATAACCACAGTCGGAACGTGTAACTGGGTTATGGTTATAGATCTAATAGATAGCTATCGGGTTTCGTCAGAACAAGGGTTATACCTGTGGCTGTGGTATTTACAGATCGTCTGGTATGATGTTAGGAATATTTGTGATATTAGGAATATTTGTGGTGGAATGGGGGGTGTTTTGTTAGCCGGGCATAATTAGTGGAATGAGAAATATTCAGTCTGCCCGTTTTAATTAATGAACACCAAACCACACAAGATTATACTCGTTCTACAATAACGGTGGTATGGGGTATTGTAGAAATTCCATCTTAACACATTGTTCTAATTCCCTCCCCCTCAGGACCACCAACACAACCAACTGAAGCTGCCCTGCCACCGCCAAACATCTTGCCCCCAGTTACCTCTAGCAACAATGTACATACCACAAATACCAACAATGCGCATACCACTAGCAACAGTGTGCATATCAACACTTCTTACCACGACAACCCTCCCCCCGCCCATAACAACAACAAAAACAACAACAACAGTCTTGGTAACCATAGCAACCAACAGCAGCCTGAAGCTAAACTGGAGGTTCCTGATGTTCATAAGATAAGACGTGGTAACTTTATCAAGAGTGAGAGTCTGGGTTCTAAAAATTACAGTAAGTTTTACTTTTATTAAGTAAGTTTTACTTTTATGATCATTCAACTTTAGTAACGATCGATAATAACTCATCCTTTTCACCCTTAAAACTATTGAAGTACGTGATTTATATAGCGCAAAACTTGAAATGAGCTTGCGTTAAAAAATGCAATTTCAAGATTATGAATCACGTGACATCACGTGACATCACAGAGTATACCACACGAACACAAAGATTCGTGCCTGCGATTAATTAACCACAACATGTCACTGGACTACATATTATCACACGCCCATTGTACTACAGATCATTCTTGCTTATTTAAACACTTCCATATAAGGAATAATAACCATATAAGGTATCAAGATTCAATACCATATAGGGAATAATCACGAGTACCTCATGATGCACTGCAGTTCTTTATGCTCATTGTTTGGACTTGGAAGTTCTCATTTTACAACTGTTGACGTAAAACTACACACTTAGTTTTGGTGACGGGACTTAGTAAGTTGAGCGCCTACTCTATCTCATGTGGGCTGTGGCACGCCAAGTCTCAAGTTTCTAGACCTACCGTAACGTTTTGAACATGGAACAACCTTCATTTCTTTGTTTCGTGTCATAGTTAACTAGTCAAACCTGCGATTACTTGAACTAGATAGTCTAGGTGGGGTGTGTAGTTTAAATATTTCCGTCTGTTTTGCTGATATTTGCTGATATTTGATGGTTAGCTCGCTTGGAGCTTACCGTTTTCCCGGGACTCAGTACATTTATACCCGGAATTCGTTCTATGAGTGCTATGGTGAGTAACTAATAACTAGTGCACGTACTTTGTTTAATTAGATATGATAGATAACTGCTCTTTCCTGAACAGCTGCAATCAATTGTAGGACTGGGATCATAGCGCCAATAATATTATCGATTTCATGTTCTTAATTTGTGGTCCTTTGGTACCGACCAGGGGTTTTAAGATCTGACTCCAAGGAGACGAGTATGTAAAGGAAACGGTTAACTCTCGTTATTCCACATCATTACCACGTCATCTCTCTCGACTCGTTCGAATCGCCAGGAGCTATCAGGAGCAATCATAAACTCATGACTAAATGCTAGTCTCAGCCATCAAACTGCATGTAAATGTTCAATAACGGAGCTCTCCGACAAGCAGCATAACCGATACAAGCACATCCACTATATTCTCAGGACTTCATAATATATCCCGAGATCCACCATTTGTCATACCCTGCCAAACGTAGGACAAATTTAGGATCATTTGTCCTGCACTGCCAAATGTAGGATCACTTCACAGTTTGCTCTCATTGTTGCTTTGTTACGTTGAGGTGGTGCAGTAGTGCCACCCCACTAGTAGTAGTGACCAGCAGTGCAGTAGGAAGTCTACTGAGCAGAATATACTTTTGTTTCGTTGTACTGGTTTCCTCAACGTCTCAGGAGCTTACGACATTTTGCCTGCTTGTGCGACATTTGTCTCATTTTACTGCGAGAGATTACTCCGTCGTTTTAAATATTTTTATGTTTTAATTTGGGAAAATAATCACAATTTATTATCCCGGAAATTATTCGCTATAACAAAAATTACGTAAATTTCATGTCATCCAATAATGTTGAACTTTTTCCTGGTCTTGCTATTCGATAGGGATGATGATTAATATCTCTACTCTCGACTACTATGATCATGTCACGTGATCGAAACAGTTTTAAGCCGATAACTCGCCAAGGGAGGATTTTAGCCCTATGTCATGTGGGGTGATTCGGAATCAGCGTTCAAATATTTCATGCCATCTAATAATGTTGAAAATATGTCCGGTCTTGCTATTTGATAGCAATACAAAAATATGGTCAAAATGACGTCCGTCACAATTTCTGGCCGTCGATTGGCGTCGATAGATTACGCCATTTAGACGAACAATTTCTAGAAAAAAATATGACACAAATTGTGATATTCACAATTTTTTGAGTTGCAATGCTTATCTTTTGTCTATTCCTCATCTCAATCGATATCAAGATAATATATTTCACTGTAGACCTGCGTCATGAATATCCGATAAGAATGAACTGAAAACGGTTCACCAGCAACTTTTATATTTACCTTTGTGGGATAAATAATAAATATAAGGGTTCTAGCGAATCATAATGAATAATAATTGTGTCAATAAAATATGTTATTAGTAATAGTACCATTAAAATTGTTGCTGAGAACCAATACCACCGGAATTATAGATTGAAGAGATGCACTGTATAGCATTGTTTATATTTGCTAACACAGCTTTTCTTGTGCTTCTTTAAGTATCGGTAGACTAACACAGTGACATTTAAATTTTAGAATACTCTTACTTTAAACAAATCGGAAATTGTTCATAATCACGCGATAATACGCTATTAAACACTACGTGTGTATATTACGGACAAAATCATCGCCCAGATGAGAAGTATGTTATTTTTTAAATTATATACTTTTGAAATAAGGGAGTTAATATCGTCAGCACGTGCAACTCCGCTCTCATACGTGATCTAACCACGTTTAAAGAATAATTTTGCTAAATTATGGCCATCTTCGTACTTTCAATTGCGATGGCTCGAATACAAAAAAAATTAGCTTAATAAAAAGCATACTGCCCAATGGCCATTATAGACAGAGTACTACACGGTACGTCCCAATTTAACATAAGTACGTACTAAACCCTTGTACGCGTCAGTGCGTACATAAGTACGTACTAAAGTACGCGTCAGTGCGTACATAAGTACGTACTAAAGTACGCGTCAGTGCGTCTCAGCTTAGAACCCGAGTTCAAATGTTTACAACTATGCAGACATTTGTTGTCTTGCACTGTAGAACAGAATAAGTATTATTGATTGATAGTGTGTTGGTTGGTGACCATATTTTTAATTGATAGCCCAATGCTCACTGCACATGCTTTTTTCTGCATTGTTGCAAAACGCATGCTTCTTCTACTACAAGATTATTTTAAGTACCGTTTTACAACCAACATAATGCTCGTTCATTAGCCTTTATTACTTCATCAACCTAGGCTTGCATATTTGCATACACTATTTTGTGTTTTAATAATGTGTTTGAAAGCACGTAGTGTTTGTAATGGTGTAGTGTTGATATCCTGAGAGCTGACCCTGCCTCGTGTTGTTCTGAGGTTTAAAGGATTGTAGAGAGCTCAGAATGAGTCTGGTCCTGAACACGGGGACTACCACTGCTGAGAAAAAGAGAGAGTGGTTGCAGAGAAGTCAGAGTCTTGATGTTCCGTCTTACTCGTATAGTAAGTGTGTTCAGATAAACACAAATGCACTATAAGCCATCCCCATTTCTTAATAGTGCAGTGTGCACCAGCTCAATGCTTATTTTTCCAGCGATTAATCCCCACCCTCTGACCCTACTCCTAACTATCTCCCATCCCCCTCCCCCTCCCCCTCCCCCTCCCCCTCCCCCTCCCCCTCCCCCTCCCCCTCCCCCTCCCCCTCCCCCTCCCCCTCTCCCCCTATCTGTATACGCCCCATTAACCCACCCTGCCTCGTTGAAGTTGCATTTGTTCCAGGGTCGCCACGTCTGGAATCGTCCAGCTCATCTATTTCAATCGGTGTAGGGAGTAAGTTATCAGCTGAACATTTCTTATCTTCATAGCTTACTTATAACTGAGTACTACTTATAACTGAGCTACTGCGTTCTTCTTATCATTCTGGTGCCAAGTCGGGGTGTTTTCTTTGACATCACCAAATAGTTTCTTAGAACTGGTTTGATCTTCTACCCTTCACATGATCATTCACATCTTGCTGCTTTCTGGGATCTTTTCCCAACTTTTGTAGTGTGTGGTATTATATCGGATACGAGGCATTTTGGGCACACTGAAGGTGTGAAAACTGAAGAATATTAATTATTTGTATTCTCAACAATTAGTTAGGGACAATTAACATTAATACAGGACCATCTGGGAAAAAATTTGCGACAAGCTGATTTTTACAGGAATGTGTTGTCCATAGTGTCAGGAACCACCCCAAAGAGTTTCCAATCTGGATCTGTTGAGCAAAAAAAGTTACAGCCAATTTTCTTCAGGCGCGTATGTCAGCCTGAGGACCGCACTTGAAAAACTCGTAACTATCGTAATAAAGACCCCCAGGAGCACCATAGGGGGTGCAAAATGACCGCAATAGTGACATTATGTGGGGCGAATCAGTGTTTTAGGGTCGTCAGATCTTTACTTATTGAGATGATTTCATTTTTATATGCTAACCTCTCAAAAATTTACTAAAATTTTGAAATTTTACTTAAATTTGGAAATTTAGCTAAATTGTTGTACAATTGAAACATTGTCTAGTTATCAGTATTCAAATTCTAAAATTTACTTTCAATTGTCAATTGATCCTTATATTAGTATAGTAAATAATATACATATCACATCAAATTCTGTAAAAAAAGGTCCTGAATTATTAGCATGGTGTCTTTGATTGGCAACTATTAGGTCACTTCTGGCTATCCCATTTCCTCAGAGTTGTTTGATTCTCCTGAATCGTCCTGTCTTTCGGGTGCATTAGTGCAACTTAATCCATGACATTGGCCACATGCAGGTAGACATTTAAAGCCATACTTCCGGCAGGAACACCTTAAGTACTAACAAGGGTTCTCAACCTCCACCGAGCAATTGCAGCAAATGAGGTTGAGCATCCCTGCCGGGGCAATCGCAGCTTTAGTCGGGATTGGCCGGTAGTATCCTTCAGAACTCATCTCCCATCCATAATGTAGTGGATTTAGACTTGCAGTGTCGAGTGTCACCCAGTTATGGTACTGAAGATATGATCTTAATATATGCTCAGTTGCAGAGGATGTAGACGGTGGTAGCCTTGATGGGTTGAGTTTTTTCTTTGCTATCATTCTACTGTAGCTGAGAAATCTGAGAGTTTCAAGTGCCTTGGTTTTATCTCCTTAGATATGTTGATACAAGGAGAGGCCAGCTTCAATTACTTCATTTGTTGAAACTCTCACAGAGAGTAATGATGCTAAATGACCCTCCTCATGAAAAGAAACTGCCTTTTTCAATATCTTCACCTTACCAAAGCCATGTATACTGCTGACCGTGTCACATCCTGAGAAACTGTGAACAAACAGTAATATACGTTTTATGTTGGCATCAGGAGCATTTACTATTTTACTGATCGAGTGTGAGCCGTTTCTGGTCGTCATCACAAATTTATTGTGATTCTCAGTAAAATGATGAATAAGGAGGCAAAGTATATCATTATCCTCTGCTTTTACCTCAACATCTTCGTAGAAGGACAAGTTTAAAGCTTTATTAGCTACCATGGTATCAGCATCATCAGTAGCTACATGTACTTCAATTCCATGTTCTGTAAAAACGTTCGACAGAAGCTTTATAAGCTCATGCTTGTTCTTTGAGTTGCTGAACAGTTTTTTCATCGGAACTGTGCACACAGTAGTACTTTTAATAGCTATATCAGAGCAGTATGCCTTGATTCTTCGCTGATGCAGATGCTCATGATCTTTTGTTGATCGGGCATAGCCATCAAACACAACAATCACTTTCCGCTGTTCGGTATTCGGAACTAGCTTAAGGTATTCATTAGCTATGTCGCCGTATGTTTCAAAGCCTGTGAACGAGGTAACTTGATAGAGTAGCCATCCACCATCAATTATTAATGGGGAGGATGGGTTGCTAAATGTCACAGTACAATCAACAACATTCTTGAGGTATTGCCCAAGGGCTCGACTGCCTTGTTAGCCTTTCTCATCATCTGCTCATTGTTAAAAAGACTCATCGGCATTGCTGTGAGCTCATATTGCAAGCTTTCCTCCAGTGTAGACTCTCGTTCAGATGCGAAGACAAGCCGATTAAAAATTGTCAATGAGTCTATAACAATGTCTTTTTCGTTCACCCTCACTGTCCGACTTTGCCTTTAACTCGAAACTTTTCGATAAAGCTTTTGCCATCCAGCTCTTTCTGGAGGGCGGTACCAACTGAAATGCAATCTTCTGGGTTGACATTATCCTTCTCTTTCTGTGATATGAGACCCGTTGAGTACGATAGCATTTTAGTCTTGTCTTCAGATTCGTCGAAATCAGCTGTATCTTTAAACCAACACAACAGCTTGGTAAACACTGCAATATTTTTCTGTACATAATGCAGCTGTCATTTGAAAACAATCCCCTTCATCAAATTTAATCCAGTGATCTCGGCCCACAGGCTCCTCCTATTAAACAAATTTGATTTTGGTAAATGTGTGCTGACTCCACCACCTATGTATTTAACCTAATATTTAGTGTATTACAGGTAGAAATTGACTTAGGTACCAGGTATTTTTCTCTTAGGTAGATATTAAGAATTTGGTTAATTTCTTAATTGTATGACTATTTCCATTACTGAGACGTTTTTAATATTTAATTTAGGAGGGTTTTTGAAATTTTTATAGGAATGGTTCACATAGTGAACAGATTCCAGATTTATATATTTTTAAACTGATATTTAATAAATGATTAAAAGAACAAATTTTAAAGTTGCCATTAGATCCAAAAATACACCCATTATGCTCACTTAAAAACAACTCTAAATCAGTAGGCTGTCACTCTATTAATGCACCACACCGCTACCTCCACTGCACTAATAGTTATAAAATAAATTCTACAATCCTAATTTTGTATCGTGATGGAGACCGGTGTTCATACAAAACATTTACTAGGCTGCCGTTTGGTGTGAGCAATAGCGAACAGCACGCACACTCCTTTGCCCCGTCAACCTATATCTAATCTATTTAAAGAGTGACAACCATACTGCACATTGAATTAGAATTCCGTTAAATATCAAATTGATTTATTGTAAACTTGTTTAATCTGTAATAAATGGCATAAAATTGAAATTTTTGTTTAACTGAAATTTTTTGTTTAACTGTACAGAAGATTTGCTAAGATCTGAGTGATTAGCACTAGAGGCTTTTGTTGTTGTTCTTTTATTGGATAAGTCTGCAATAGCTTCATCGACACTCTCGTTTATCAACGCCATTTGATTGAGGGTTGCAGTCCATAACTTATGGGCAGATTCATGAGTTCGCATTCTCCCTCCAGACAAACCCCCTGATGACTTTGCAGCCTTCATTAGTCGCTGTTCGATCGACAGGTCTGTCCACACACCAGACCACTCGTGTTCATTATATCGAACTGTGTGCAGACCTACGACCTTGAACGTTTTGGCTAGTGCCCCATACTGAATCTCAAGTATGGTAATCTGCTCAAGATACAGCCGTAGAGCTTTGGAGTACTGACCTCGACCTGCTGCTGCAAAGATAGGCAACATCTTAGCCACAATTGCAAGATGTAGATCGAAGTCATGTAACCGTTCTGCTCTTAAAAAATCTTTTATTAAGCAAATGAAACCATGATAAGTTGTCCAAAGAGCAGCTGTTCGACGATAACATCTCGAACTTATTTTTTATAGGCTCTGATAACTCTTGTACGACTCTGGTCTTGTGGTTTACACCGAGTTTTTCATTGCTACACTTGGCAATATAGCTAGCCATATCTTCAAGATCCTCCTCTGCTATTTTGTCCTCAAATAAATAGCAGCAGAGAGCACAATCTTTTTAATCAAACTTAAAAAGTGGGCCCTCAGTGCTTTGTAATAGGATCCACCGTCCATTATGTGAGTTACATCCCCAGGGTAGACTAATCTCATAAGGTCTTCCAGTCCGGAGTCTGCCACTGCAAGTCTAAATCCACTACATTATGGATGGGAGATGAGTTCTGAAGGATACTACCGGCCAATCCCGACTAAAGCTGCGATTGCCCCGGCAGGGATGCTCAACCTCATTTGCTGCAATTGCTCGGTGGAGGTTGAGAACCCTTGTAAGTACTTAAGGTGTTCCTGCCGGAAGTATGGCTTTAAATGTGTACCTGCATGTGGCCAATGTCATGGATTAAGTTGCACTAATGCACCCGAAAGACAGGACGATTCAGGAGAATCAAACAACTCTGAGGAAATGGGATAGCCAGAAGTGACCTAATAGTTGCCAATCAAAGACACCATGCTAATAATTCAGGACCTTTTTTTACAGAATTTGATGTGATATGTATATTATTTACTATACTAATATAAGGATCAATTGACAATTGAAAGTAAATTTTAGAATTTGAATACTGATAACTAGACAATGTTTTAATTGTACAACAATTTAGCAAAATTTCCAAATTTAAGTAAAATTTCAAAATTTTAGTAAATTTTTGAGAGGTTTGCATATAAAAATGAAATTATCTCAATAAGTAAAGATCTGACGACCCTAAAACACTGATTCGCCCCACATAATGTCACTATTGCGGTCATTTTTCACCCCCTATGGTGCTCCTGGGGGTCTTTATTACGATAGTTACGAGTTTTTCAAGTGCGGTCCTCAGGCTGACATACGCGCCTGAAGAAAATTGGCTGTAACTTTTTTTGCTCAACAGATCCAGATTGGAAACTCTTTGGGGTGGTTCCTGACACTATGGACAACACATTCCTGTAAAAATCAGCTTGTCGCAAATTTTTTCCCAGACATTTTGCATTATTCCCTAACTAAATGAGTCAACAATTTTGACGATATACCGTGATCTATACAGATGTATACGAATGACAAATATCGGATAATGAGCAGCACTTAATAGATATCATTGCTTTTATCTGAAGATAAAAGCTTCATCCTCGAGCCAATATCCGAACCACGGGATTTGCCTCAATCAACTGAGCTTGTGAAGAATGAGGAAGTGAGGATTGTATTCGTCTAGCATTCGTCTAGACACCGATTGACTGAGATTTTAATTAATCTGTTTGTTTCAACATCGCACAGAATTACGTCCAATTTCACTACTGACAGCTAAACAAAAGAAATAATCACTACCCTGCGTGTTCCGACAAACTACCACCCCGCACTGCACGTGCACTGGAACACCAGGTATAGTTCACATTGTCGCACGTGCACAAACACACCGTAGTACCATGTGCTTTCTAATTCCTCCTTTGTCTCCGATTAGCGAGATATAACAACGGACAGTTTCATTAAATGTGCGACTGGTGACAATAGTATACCTACATTCAGCTTCAAAATCACCAAACAACTACAGTTTAGAAACTTTTGTATCTGCTTTGATAAGTGTGTAATTGTGTTGCATACTGTCTGGTTAAACGTAACCGGTTTTTATTCCTGATCATTAGTCGTCGTCAAGTTTCGTCGTCAAGTGTCGTCGCTAGTTAAAAAGTCGTCCTGATGTCGTCGTCAGATTTGTTGCGTAGTGCTATCGTTAGTAGTAGTAAGAAGAACCTGTGGCGCCTGAGTCGTGAGTGAAGAGCACGTGACCTCAATCTCTGTTGTTTCAACTTGTTGCATTGATATCCTCTGTCTTTTGTCTATGACAGAACTGCGACAGTACTGTGACGTTCTGTCGTAGTTCTGTTTATTTTTAAATAGACTAAACTACATTTGTTTTAAAAATGCTTGGAAATGAAACAGTGCTATAGGTCATCTAGGATTGATGGATTCGTCAGTCCCTTTTATCTTTATCGAGACGGACTCTCAGCCAACCTGCCAATTATTTAAGGAATTATAACTTTTTGTATTATTTACTTTGATTCTCTAGAGCTGCTTTATCAATACCTTTACTCCTTGCTTGAGTTCCAAACTAAGTAATCCTCAACCAGCGAGTAGCTACATACTTTTATCTACAGCACTTAAAAACAGACCGGAAAGATTACGCCAAAACTTTGGTGCATCCCGGATGTGTACTACGTCATTTCCTGAATTGGTGGAACTTTAAAATCAATCCAGTTTTCAAGTTTCAATCTTTCTTTTAACCTTTATTTCGACCGCACTTTTAACCAATCTCTCGATCGTCGAACACACATCTCTAACTCTACTAAAGCTTCAACTTTTGCTCTTCATCTCAACTCAATTTGTTTTCCAATTCAATTGAACATCATCAATGAGTTTTTACTCATAGTTTCTCTTGGTATCAGAAAATTGGGTGAAGTTTTCATTAAGAAAATATAGCTGCGATTAATACTATGTACGTTCATCATCTATAATTTTATTTCCACTCACTAAGTTTTTAACACATAAACCTTCAAATGGGATTGAAAATTTGACTTACATTGAAATTTTAACTTTTAATGAACGTGATTCGTGAAACTTAACCACCGATTTTCCGTAATTCTAACACGGCTATAAAAATTTGAACAGATGAAACCTTCATTCATGATATTCACTTACCACGTGATACCTCTCGCTCACCCTGAGTTTCACTTTCACTTTCACTTCAGAAAACTCGGAATGCGACGAGAGCAAGTCGGTGGACAGTTTGTCGTTAGCGTCTCGTGACAGGGGGCTATCACTTGACGATATGGCTGCCCATGAAGATGGGTACATGACTGATAGTACCATGTTCACCATACACGATGATGACGAGAACATCGAGGTGAGTTAAAAATTAAAAAAAATTAAATATATACAGAAATAGTATTACAGGTTATATATTATGAATGTTATCATTACTAGCCATACTTGTTCGTGGGATTCACAAACTTTAAAACTTACTATTTCTGCTCTCTTCTTTATCAGCTGTTTATTGTCGCTGAACGTGGCACTAAATTCTCAATTATAAATTGGTTGATTTTAGCGATGGTATTATGTTAGTAATTCTGATAATTGTTGCGTAAAATAATTGCTTGGGTCTAAAAATAGTCGTATAAACCTATAAACACCGGAAATCTTAATAAAATAAAGTCCATCCCCGCCACTGTGCTGTATGAATACTACAACTTGTCTGTATAATCTGTCCGGCAATGTCTGCCATGTCTGCTGACATTATAACATTAGTTTCCTGTATGAGGGCTGCTCTACACATGCTATTAGAGCTCCCTGCTTTTACATTATAAGATTATATTGGAGGTCCAAGAGAGCATGCTCAACCTTTAACTTTAACAATATGTTGTGCGATGTAGATTGTAGATAGCAATGTAGCTATAGCAATGTAGCTATAGCAATGTAGCTATAGCAATGTAGCTATAGCAATGTAGATTGTAGATAGCAATGTAGCTATAGCAATGTAGCTATAGCAATGTAGCTATAGCAATGTAGCTATAGCAATGTAGCTATAGCAATGTAGCTATAGCAATGTAGCTATAGCAATGTAGCTATAGCAATGTAGCTATAGCAATGTAGCTATAGCAATGTAGCTATAGCATTGCTCTTGGATTTTGGTATATTGTGGAAATACACATGCTATTAAGCATAACAATATTGCACGTGCGATTATGATGATATTGCAATATCACACGTGAAGATAAAGAGTTAATGTTCATTATTCACTTGTATAAATGTGACATGTGTTATAAGGCACACATAACTACACGCTTGACGCTGTACACAATGCATTAAAAATCCTTTTCTTTAAATACACTTTATAATAATCCGTAAAGGCGCTGCTGTGTGCCCATTGTTAGACATTAGACATTAGGGAGACTAAGAGTAGGTAAGGTATTTACAGATAACACACACCATATATATACACCACCAGTCACCACTACACATTCATTTGTCTAGATAACACACACCACCACTACACATTCATTTGTCTAGATAACACACACCACCACTACACATTCATTTGTCTAGATAACACACACCACCACTACACATTCATTTGTCTAGAGATAACACACACCACCACTACACATTCATTTGTCTAGATAACACACACCACCACTACACATTCATTTGTCTAGATAACACACACTACCACTACACATTCATTTGTCTAGAGATAACACACACTACCACTACACATTCATTTGTCTAGATAACACACACCACCACTACACATTCATTTGTCTAGATAACACACACCACCACTACACATTCATTTGTCTAGATAACACACACTACCACTACACATTCATTTGTCTAGAGATAACACACACTACCACTACACATTCATTTGTCTAGATAACACACACCACCACTACACATTCATTTGTCTAGATAACACACACCACCACTACACATTCATTTGTCTAGATAACACACACCACCACTACACATTCATTTGTCTAGATAACACACACCACCACTACACATTCATTTGTCTAGATAACACACACCACCACTACACATTCATTTGTCTAGATAACACACACCACCACTACACATTCATTTGTCTAGATAACACACACCACCACTACACATTCATTTGTCTAGATAACACACACCACCACTACACATTCATTTGTCTAGATAACACACACCACCACTACACATTCATTTGTCTAGATAACACACACCACCATTACACATTCATTTGTCTAGATAACACACACCACCACTACACATTCATTTGTCTAGATAACACACACCACCACTACACATTCATTTGTCTAGATAACACACACCACCACTACACATTCATTTGTCTAGATAACACACACCACCACTACACATTCATTTGTCTAGATAACACACACCACCTCTACACATTCATTTGTCTAGATAACACACACCACCACTACACATTCATTTGTCTAGATAACACACACCACCACTACACATTCATTTGTCTAGATAACACACACCACCACTACACATTCATTTATCTAGATAACACGCACCACCATTACACATTCATTTGTCTAGATAACACACACCACCACTATACATTCATTTGTCTAGATAACACACACCACTACTACACATTCATTTGTCTAGATAACACACACCACCACTACACATTCATTTGTCTAGATAACACACACCACCACTACACATTCATTTGTCTAGATAACACACACCACCACTACACATTCATTTGTCTAGATAACACACACCACCACTACACATTCATATGTCTAGATAACACACACCACCACTACACATTCATTTGTCTAGATAACACACACCACCAGTACACATTCATTTGTCTAGATAACACACACCACCACTACACATTCATTTGTCTAGATAACACACACCACCACTACACATTCATTTGTCTAGATAACACACACCACCACTACACATTCATTTGTCTAGATAACACACACCACCACTACACATTCATTTGTCTAGATAACACACACCACCACTACACATTCATTTGTCTAGATAACACACACCACCACTACACATTCATTTGTCTAGATAACACACACCACCACTACACATTCATTTGTCTAGATAACACACACCACCTCTACACATTCATTTGTCTAGATAACACACACCACCACTACACATTCATTTGTCTAGATAACACACACCACCACTACACATTCATTTGTCTAGATAACACACACCACCACTACACATTCATTTATCTAGATAACACGCACCACCATTACACATTCATTTGTCTAGATAACACACACCACCACTATACATTCATTTGTCTAGATAACACACACCACTACTACACATTCATTTGTCTAGATAACACACACCACCACTACACATTCATTTGTCTAGATAACACACACCACCACTACACATTCATTTGTCTAGATAACACACACCACCACTACACATTCATTTGTCTAGATAACACACACCACCACTACACATTCATTTGTCTAGATAACACACACCACCACTACACATTCATTTGTCTAGATAACACACACCACCACTACACATTCATTTGTCTAGATAACACACACCACCATTACACATTCATTTGTCTAGATAACACACACCACCACTACACATTCATTTGTCTAGATAACACATACCACCACTACACATTCATTTGTCTAGAGATAAATTTATAGACGATCCGTGGCCATGGTGAGATGACAAATGCATGCCTGTATGATTGTGTTTATTATTGTATTAAAGAAGCGTTGAATGGTGTGCTAAGGTTCGTGCAGGGGTCTCGAGTGTCAACTGAGTCACAATTCATTATTGTCAAGCTGATTGCTCATTGCGCAACTCTCATCGTCACAGCCAGAAAGCCTATAAAGCTGCTGATTTCAGTTTACAAGATAAAATTCTAACATCTTACATACATCATGTCAGCATCATACAGATATCATATCCACTTAATTTCGAGATCATTAAACTGGATCGAAGTCACTTAAAGTCATATTTCTCCCTTATACCAGATCATTCAACTAGTTTTTAAGTCCTATTTCACCCTAATTTGACCACTGATTTTCCCCCTGATTCCACCCTAATTGATAATGTGACCACTGATTTCACCCTGATTTCACCCTAACTTCACCACTGATTTCACCACTGATTCCTTCTCCCGCAGTTACTGGTTACTGACGTCATCAACTCTCTAGCTCAGGAGCACAACTCTAGGACTGTTCTGGACGCTCTCCAGAGTGTTGTTAGACTTGCACTAAAAGGTAAACTTATTCTTCAGAGTGTTGTTAGACTTGCACTAAAAGGTAAACTTATTCTCCAGAGTGTTGTTAGACTTGCACTAAAAGGTAAACTTATTCTCCAGAGTGTTGTTAGACTTGCACTAAAAGGTAAACTTATTCTCCAGAGTGTTGTTAGACTTGCACTAAAAGGTAAACTTATTCTTCATAGTGTTGTTAGACTTGCACTAAAAGGTAAACTTATTCTCCAGAGTGTTGTTAGACTTGCACTAAAAGGTAAACTTATTTGATCTCTTGTTCTGATCTCTTGTTCTGATTTCTACCCAATGTTCTTTGAAGATGAATCTCAATGTAACGTTAGGAACAGTTTCCTGTTTCACTTTGGGAGTTTTATGTGTTTACAAAGGTACGGACATTGACTTAGTTTTGAGAGTTTTAGAGCTATTTATATATTTCACTGGCAATTCCATGTTTGATTATCTAGACATTGTTAGATAACGAGGTAATGCTGCTAACTGAGCTCTTCCTTATAAAACTTAACCTCTCAACTATCATGTTGGTAGATAACATCAGAGAAATTATTACGTTAGTTTTAAAACCTTTATGTTTTGACGAGGGTGAAACACAAGTTAATATTTTACCAGGTGAGGAGGCACAGCAGCTGTTAGGGGAGAATAATGTGATAAAGAGTCTTGTAGTTCTGGGGAACAAGTTCGCTGATGAATCTGAAGTGGCTGAGATGATCTGCACAGCGCTCGGTATAGTTCATTAATCAGCTCACACAATGTGCTGAGACTTAGTACAATTAGTTTAATTAGTTTAATTAAGTGGTTTATTGTTCATAGTCCAACTCGTAAGTTTCTCAACTTGGCATTCATTAGTTTACAATATATTATGTGGCAGTTTAAATAATTTCCGTGGAATGTTTGGTATGTACGGGAGGCGCATTATAACGAGCTTCTGTAATTTTACCTATTTTGAAATGCGATGTGACGTAGGAAGTCATTGTTAGCTGCGCCTTCATTACCCAGTTAGTGACAACCGTTTATTGCTACATATTTAACAAGGAAAAAATAACCGCCCATCAATATAACCATTAACATCCTTCACGTTATCCTAACAAAACCTCACATCTTATCAGGTTGTATGTGTACACTGAACAGTTCGAACAGGGACCGTGTCATTAAGTTTGACGGAGTGGATTTGATGGTGACCTTCATGAACAAGCATCCCACAAATGAGGCCATCCAACAGGAAGCTTGTCTGGCCATCAACAATCTTTGTATCAATAATGGTAAGTTCGTTAGAACAGTCATTCATTTTATGCTGATGAGTAGTCTGTAAATGTAGTTTATTTTGGCTTTCTTTTTTCAGAATATTTGGATATCGTGGACGCTTTGAATATGACTGAAATGGAAGGCGCTATTTTTATAGATGTGATAAAATTGTTAAATCGTCCAAATATATCGCGCGCGCTCAATATTATATTTATACGCGCGCAATTATTTGAGCACATGTTTCACATATTGCCAGTCGAACAAAAATAAGTTAATATAACCAAATATCTGAAATAACTGACGACAGGAATGGTAAAACGACTAACATATTTAATTCAGCTGATAACGAACGGCACATAGTAGAGAAGGGAGGACTTGACGCTGTGTTATCTGCCATGCAACATCTGAGCTCATTTTCCGATGTACAAGAAGCAGCATGTTTCGCGCTGGGAGCTTTGTGTGTTAATAATGGTACGAGCATAATTAATTTCGAAAACATTTTGTGTCTATCAGATTATTTCAGCCCTGAAACTGGTGCGTCACTTTTTGAAATTCCTTATTTCTTAAGAGATATATGGTAATTACTTAACACCTTGTTTACAGGAAATAACAGAGCAATAGTAGCCAAGATGGGGGGACTGAACTGTATAGTTTCTGTTATGGAGAGTTGTGCTGGCTCTGCAACAGTGCAAATAGCAGCATTCCACGCTCTCCGCAACATAGTCTGTAGAAACTGTGAGTTCAGTTTATAGAGTAGTTAAATGTGGCGTTTTATTAAACTGCCAGTCTTTTGGAGACTAATAATTGGTACTTAAATGATTTTACTCGAATGACCCAATCACTGAGACTAAAACAAAACCTTGAAATTTCACCTATCCTCTTATCCATAAGCTAAACCGTGCTAACTTTCAGCACAGAACCGTTCGCTGGTAGTACAAGTTGGTGGAGACACGGCCATCATTAACGCCATGTTCAAATACCCACAGAACTCACTTCTCCAACAACGAGGCTTGGGGACACTCTGTAATCTGTGTATTGGCAGTGGTGAGTCAAGTCAGTGGTGCTTTTAATACATCTTTTCGAAATTTTTATATGAATGTTTTACGCATTTTTAAAGCAATTTTTCATCATTATGATATTATATCATATCATCATTTTGTAACACGGGTAGATGTTTCAGTGGCACTTCGACTGTTACATTTGTTATATGTTTGGAGCTTGTATAATTTTCTGCTTCTTTTGCAAACAACACCAATATAACACTCAACTAATTATGTAGCACATCTTTTTATTTTAGTTTTAACCTAATTACAACACTACAAATTAATGTAGTCCGAGGAGTCCTAAGATGGCGTTTCTTTTGTCAGACATTTTGTAACCATCCTGCTAATGTCCGATCAAAGGAACAATCAAAATGAAATTATTATTTACTTATTTTATTATTATCATTTCCTCTTACATTATTTTATCCTAGAATTCTATTGTTGCAAATTTCTACTCTTTAATTATTCCGATGAATTCTATTTTTAGCGTGTATTCTTGCTCAAAATCGAATCGATGAACACTTCGTTTTGCTACGTACGTTTCAATTTGAGTTGATTCCTGTATTCAAAAAGTATCAAGTCCCATTTCTAAACCTTCATTGGAGTTCTAAATCCTTGAGATGGAGTTTAAAGCCGTTCAGTTTGTGATTAGTGCGAAGGGAAGCAACAGACCGAAAAGAAACAGACGCGGTACCAATAACTAGTGGTGTTAGAATCAAACTCTGCATATTTTGCTCATTATTCCTGAGCATTTTGTTTTAATTCCATAAAATTAGTATTGAATTTATAATCCCTCAGAGTTCAACAAGGCAGCAATCGGTAAAACCGGAACGAAAGCAGTGATGAAAGCTATGTCGGACTTTCCCCGAGACCCAACCATACAAGCGGCCGCGTGCTACGCTGTTGTCAACCTTTGTGGCAAGGATGGTGAGACATTTCCCGATTTCAGACTTTGGCACCTAATTGCGAAAGTTTAGGTGACCATCAGAGATTTAAGAAAATAAAATAAAGTCAAAATTCCATGGCAGACGCGTGTGATATCATGTCCGCAATACACTGGGCTAATCACATCATCATCACGTGTGTAAAGTGTGTAAAGTACCTTAATTCCCAAAAATTTGGGCGACAAAAAATTTGAGCGGGCCTCTCGCCCAAATTTTTTGCAGACCAAATTAATTGCGTAAATCTTTTCCGTCTGCTAAATTTTTTGCTAACCAAACTTTTGGCATTTGGCCTGTGGCCCTGGAATCTATAGAAAGATGGCTTTTTCTTCATATCCAAGTAAAATAATATTTGAAATTTTAGTTTTCTAATCTGTCATTCATGGCTTGACCAATTAAAAAGGCTTATATTTTAAATGAATAGAAATTACTGGAATAGCTAACAGCTACTAATAAAACAAATGGCTAGAGGTACGGATAGCTAGAGATTTTCGGATTTAAACAAGATCTGCAAATGGATTATCATCCACCGTAAAGTCTGATCTACAAGCATCAGTTATACCCGACTTCTCAAAGCCTAAATTCCTTATGTCATCTGGCCTCCCTTTTAAATATACTATCTGATTGAGAGACTAAATATCACTATTGTATATATCTATCATTTTGTACTGTGCCATCATCACTGTATTTTTTGGTAGTTACTGGGCAGATCGTTAATTTTATAATGTGAAACAACTCAGACAACCACCTACATGCTTAAAATTGAAAGCAAAATGACTGGAATAATAAGGAATAATAATGAACTAAGGCAAATATCTAACTGAAATTTTAGTGGAAAATCGTTCATTTTTCGAAGAATTTGTGCCCAAATTTTCGGTCGCCCAAATGAGTTCAAATTGTTTGCCCAATTTTTTGGGCTCAAATAAATTGTGCTCAATTTAATTGCACACAAATTTTTGGGAACTAAGGTATGTAGCATTCCTACAATGCTCTCTGTTCTGGCGAACTAAAGTACGAGAATAACCCATCTTATATATAACCCATCACATGTATTTCTCTCAGGTGTTAATCAGGAGCGAATTGGAGCAGCTGGGGGAGTTGGGCTAGTTCTGAATGCTCTGAAAGAGTACCCCTCAGATACAGGAGTCCTGAACCCAACTCTACTTGCCCTTAAAGCTCTCACTCAAAAACACGGTAACTCAGGCTCTATGATAGTGTGTTTAGACTACAACCATAGCTTTTAAGAAAGCGCTCCCTGCCTATCTCCTTACATACAGACCTATTTTCAAGATACAGATCCGGGACCTTAACCAAACCCTTCAGTTGCGAACAGCGAGAAGTTGTTGAACCTGGGAGGGGGTAGTGTACTCCTGAACACCATGAAGAACGTTCCGAATCTTGTGAACGTGCAGGAAGTTGGAGCCGAGATTATTGGGGATCTCTGTCAGATGGGAGGTAAGCTTCATTATTATCAGTTTAATTGGTTAGGTAGTTTACTTGGAAAACTTTACTTAGAAAAACTTAAAAACACTTTTTCTTTGAAATTTCGTGCAGGGTATTTAATCTAGTAAAAATGATCGAATTTGAAAGAGTTTGATTTGACTCTTTGACTCGCTGATAACTTGTAAGCTTGAGTGTAGCCATAGTAACTTGTGTTCTATGAATGAGTGTAGCTCTGTAACCATGGTAACCATAGTAGTGAGGTATTGATCACTTCTTGATTGATTGCTGTAAGCTGAGCGAGGAATCTGAAAGTAGCGAATGGTTATACTTATTAAACCATTACCATTTAAATGACGTCCAAATTTCCCTCTCATCTTCATAATATGTAGTAAAGTATGTAGTGAATTATTGAGTTAGTGAGAAGACAGAAAAACTTAAAGTTAGGTAGACTTCGAAGAAGTAGTTGTAATTTTAAAAACCACCAAAACGAGCGCCTTGTTTGTGTCCAGATAAACCATATTTGTATTTTAGTGTGTACTGCGGTGACTAAACCGAGATTAGGTGAGCAGTAAAAGTGGTGTCAGTGAGTGAATTGTGATTTGTGAATTACATGACTGCATTAAGGATACCTACTTCCATCGTAAACTGACAATTTGATGATGATATTTAATTAACTATTGCATACTGTATAGCAACTATATTTGTGATGAAGCAAAATTTAAAATAACAGTACAATTCCTCGATTTCTTTGAATGAAAAGCCGTTCTCTGCCTCTTAAATCAAAGCATCAATCTTTCAATCTTTACCTATTTTATTTTAATGAAGCATGAGTTGATTATCATGACTAACTTTAGGACTACCATGTTCATTGAACATTCCTGAGAATGAAAGCAAGGGTAAGATGTGATTCTAGTACCGCTGTTCTTAGCACTCTATTCAGCTGTCAAATATTTGCCCAGATATTTATTAAAGTATTAATGAAGGGGTCTCTTTTTATCTGTAATCTCTTCTGTGATGTTTGCTGATGAATGAACCTTTTCCTCTGTGATTTCTTGCATTTTTTATTCGATCACCTCTTTCCTTAGAATATTTTATGCAGTTCTAGGCCAATGTATTTTGTATATACATTATACCAACACATTATACATTTTCAACCGAACAATATAACTCTGTTCAGTACAATGTATAAAATAAATTGTACGGTGTACAATACCTTACCTTCTCAGCGGGTGTGACCCAGCAGCTGGTTGACGCGGGTGCTATTGATGTCCTGTTGACGGTGATGGACCTGGCTCCCCAGTCCGCTGGGCTCCAGGAGGCTGCTACATACGCTCTCTGCAACATCTGCGCTACCCCAGGTAATTTTAAATTTTGCATTTTGTTCCTTTTGTTTTGATACTAATATATCTAAGCTTTCACAGCGGAATGTTCAACTATTTTTTTGAAATTGATGCATCGAATTTTAAAAACGTTTGTGGAACACAAAGAAATATTTTCAGAACCCTCCTACCGAGAGATGGTGTACAGGAGTGAGGGTATCAACATAGCTCTGCAAGCTATGGACAGATTCGAGAACAATGCTCCCATGCAGCGAGCAGGGTGCTGCTTGCTATACAATATCTGCATTGGAAACGGTAAGTAATTAGTAAGTAATTAGTAAGTAATTAGTAAGTAATTAGTAAGTAATTAGTAAGTAATTAGTAAGTAATTAGTAAGTAATTAGTAAGTAATTAGTAAGTAATTAGTAAGTAATTAGTAAGTAATTAGTAAGTAATTAGTGCTGCTTGCTCTACAATATCTGCATTGGAAACGGTAAGTAATTAGTAAGTAATTAGTAAGTAATTAGTGTGGAAACATCAGTCATGTTGACTGTTGTCGGAGTTGGAAACGGTAAGTAATTAGTGTTGAAACATCAGTCATGTTGACTGTTGTCGGAGTTGGAAACGGTAAGTAATTAGTGTTGAAACATCAGTCATGTTGACTGTTGTCGGAGTTGGAAACGGTAAGTAATTAGTGTTGAAACATCAGTCATGTTGACTGTTGTCGGAGTTGGAAATGGTAAGTAATTATTGTTGAAACATCAGGCATGTTGACTGTTGTCGGAGTTGGAAACGGTAAGTAATTATTGTTGAAACATCAGTCATGTTGATTGTTGTCGGAGTTGGAAACGGTAAGTAATTATTGTTGAAACATCGGTCATGTTGACTGTTGTCGGAGTTGGAAACAGTAAGTAATTATTGTTGAAACATCAGTCATGTTGACTGTTTTCGGAGTTTGAAACAGTAAGTAATTATTGTTGAAACATCGGTCATGTTGACTGTTGTCGGAGTTGGAAACGGTAAGTAATTAGTGTTGAAACATCAGTCATGTTGACTGTTGTCGGAGTTGGCCTGTTTTAAATATGATGGCTATAATTAATTAGGGCAGTTTCGATTGTAATTTGTATAAAAGAAGAATGTATGAAATTGTAGTGTAATATTGACTGTCAGAATTTACATTGATAAGGATTAACGGGAATATATTTAGATCTGTTGAATTATTTAATGGTTTTACTGTTGATTAACCAGGTTCACCTCTTCTCTTCCGATCCCGATCAAGTCTTTTTCTTATTCCGTTTGTTGCAGTTGAGATAGAACGGACAATAGTGAACAGTGGCGGTATAACAGCGATACTAAAAGCACTGGACACGTTCGCAACTGACAGTACAATCCAAGAAGCCGGCTGCATAGCCCTCCACAATCTTTGTGCTAAATCAGGTTTATTTCTTTATCATGTTTATTTCATGATTGGGTTCAATTTAAGGTCCACTTGATTTATATTTGTTAATAAATTTACTTCGAAGGAAACACTTGATCCTAGTACGATCATAACGTGATATCATGATATGGTCATAACGTGATATCCTAATATGGTCATAACGTGATATCCTAATATGGTCATAACGTGATATCCTAATATGGTCATAACGTGATATCCCCAACAGCGGACAACAGGAAGTTGGCAGCTAAAGAGGACGCGATACAACGAGTGATACGCGCAATGAAGGAATGTAGCGGAAGTGCAAGTGTTCAGGAGGCTGCTTGTAAAGCTATTATCAACCTCACTGCCAAAAATAGTGAGTATGATAACTGATTAGAGATTTTCAGTGACATGTAATATTGAATCATGCACATCCAGAATTCAGATGCGTGCCTATTTGTGCACGTGTGCGTGCCTGGTTGTGCGCAAACTAACATTTACACTCTCAGTGCCCAATAAAGTGCTGTTGGGAGAGCAGGACGGCATCAACGTGCTTCTGAAGACAATACAAAGATATTCCAATAACGCTGTAGTTATGGAGGCGGCTGTCACCGCTCTCAGAAACGTCTGCAATAAATGCAGTAAGTGTCTTTGTGATTTTTTAGATATGACTTAATATTTAAGATGATCAAACGTCAAAAAAATATGTTGTCTTGAGTTAAAAAGGTTAACTGGAAGATTTATCTATTCTAATTGTAAACAAGGACAGTGATTAAAACTTGGCATAAAATTATTTATTATTTTAAAATTCAAATCATCATATTTTTAGCATTAAAAAATTATCGCTACAAATCATAATATTTTATCTGCCACTATGCAAAGAAATTGACCACACATAAACTTTAAAAGAACTTAAGTTTTGGTTCTACTTCGATTTCGAGGTCCAGCTTGTCTCCGGGGAAAGTATCCGCGTGTTCGGATACGTAAATAGCGTAATTACCGTAGACGGGACCGTTTATGTACTGGTTTCCTGACCCATGATCTATTCCTTGTACCACTGTGGGCATTCCTGAACCCTAGAAATGTTCATGTCCTAGTCCTTGGCCGTACATTGCAAAAAATTAATTAAAATAAAATGGTAGACCGTAAGCAAATCTGCAACAAGCTAAATAACTTGGATATAATTATAACTAAACTGAAGGTTACCTGGATATTCGAGATTTCGTGAGCCCATTCCATGTGTGTTGTGATACCTGAAGTTTAGCCATAGTTAATAGTTATACATGGTTCAGAAACTGATCAGCATGTCAATATGTGGTCACATAATTGTGACAAAAGACTTTAAGTTTACAGATCAAAAGAACATAGTTACATACCTGTAGTTACCATAGTTACACAGTCATTGACTACTGATACCTGTAGTTACCATAGTTACATACCTGTAGTTACCATAGTTACATACCTGTAGTTACCATAGTTACATACCTGTAGTTACCATAGTTACATACCTGTATGAGGGTTGACAGCGAAGTGGTTCCCTAGTCCGTGAGTGTTGTGGTCATTTGATCCCAACACAGATAGATGACCCCCTGAAATGAATCACGTTACATGTCAAATGACAACCACTAGAACAATATGTAATTAGTTTTAGTTAAAATAGCCTCTAGTCAAGGTGCTCGCCAGTCAGCGGGACCAAATGTGAATTTCTAAAGATTCTGAATATCCAACACAGAAAAGAGATTTACGGAAGGTCATTGCTTACCCGTGAGAACGATTCTAACTCCGTTGTTACCGTACGCCCAGTTGAAAGCCAGGTCTCCGTCCACAGAGAATATAGGATCATCCGCCATATTCTGTGCTGTCTTGCTAACGTCCTCCTGAAGAGGTCCTCCCTCGGTAACTACCTCCCTTCCGGGGTTCATGTCTTGGAACCTGGACACAGGGTTTCTTTATTTTAACCATATCAGTATGCCACGTGGGGAATAAGGGGCATCTCGAGTATTCAAGTATTAGCATTATTAATCATGCTCGAGTATTCAAGTATACCTGGAGAGGAGGGACCTGGCACTTTCTCTGAACCGAAACACTTTCACTGCCTCCACTTCACCCTTGTGATGCCTAACTATCGCTATGTAGCTCACTGGGTGACCCCAGATAACCCTACTCAGAAGGAATTATCATCAGATCTTTTCAATTGGAAACTGATATTTTGGGATTTACTGAATATGACTTTGAGATTTGGGCTGTAAATTCGAGTTATTTTTCAACAACGGTCAAATAGCAACATCCTTATTCCTTTTGTCACTGCAAACTGTACAGAGATCAACATTTGCATTATAGTTCTGGATATACCTGTTTAAATAATCGCTGCTCAGTGCTCCACTGTAGGTCCCTATAAACTTATCTCTGGCCCAGCCCGTCGTGTAGTCCATGATGTGGCCGTCAGAAGGGTTGAGGTTCATTGCAAGGTACCAGAGACTGGGATCACTTCCTATCTTGTTCACTGGAGCCGACTTGAGGACTCCTACCATCAAACAAACGAGAACGACCAACATATTCAATCTGATTTATTGATAACTGATCCTTATTCCTTATGATTGGAAATTTCTCATTAATATTTTGATTCTTACAAATTGATTTCGGTTCCAAATTATCATTTCATTCGCACCTTTTGTGACATGAAACAGGAAGTTTCAACTTATCTACATCAAGATCTTTCGGCGGGAGTCGTTGGTCAGAGAATATATAGGTGTTAATTTTTGTGAGACCGAAAAAATAATTGGATGATAAAATGGAATTGCTGTACACATATTCTTCATCCTTTATACATCATGAATTATCCATGAAATTCCCGTTTGTGAGATAAACATAAATTTTGAAATATGATTCAATTATAACCTGTTCTTTGAACATAAGAAACTGGAAAGTCAACAAGTGGTATATTCGATCTGGTGGGACATTTTGAAAAGAATTTAAATAAATCATGGATAAATGTACAAATAATAAAGCATTTGATCACAAATACTAACATTCTACTTACCTCAGTTAACAACATCAACATAATCAAAGTACAGACCCGTCTCGGAGTTCTGCTGGCAGCCCTGGAGAACTCTCTCCAGCATTGTGCTCAGAACGCTGCCATTCAGAAGGCGGGTTGTGATATCATCAGTTATGCTTGTGTTGATAAAGGTTTGTTGTTTCATGTCCCATGAATTGTCGGGTAGCTACTGTGTAAAAACTAAAAACTATACTGTTGAGAAATTGTTGTAAACGCGATTCATGATCGTGCAAGTTTTAAAACTTTTGGTCACAATGAATAGTTGTCATTGTTCTTGAATCCATGGTTACCTATGAAGTATCCTTACTTATCTGACTTTTTGTGTTTTTTCCTCAAAGTCTGATTTCCTTTTATGAACTAAAATTATAGTCTGTTTTTTGGTCGGCCGATGAGGTTCAATATTTTAAAATTTAATATATTTTTTGTCCCTGCAAGCTATTTTTCTTCGAAGGATTCATGTATGATGTATATTTTATTCAATGAGTTAAACATACTTTACAAGGGTTTCATATCGTAAAAGAGTCACTTTTTGGCATTAAATTTATTTTTCATCGGTCGGCTTAAAAAAGGTGCTATAAAAATGTATCTCATATCTGTAAAAATGTCTTTATTGAGAACTGTTTTGCCCCCTAGACTATGTGAACCAGTATTCGGATACCGTCCTAATGAGTATACACAACAGACTATTGTCAGATTCCAATACCAGAATCTACCACAACCACCATCCCGCTCACCGGTAACCATGGAGTTAAGCACGTGTCAGTGCTCACGCGTTACCATGACGTCACACGCGTGTCGCATGGGAAACGGGTGCGCGCACCAAGCACTCACACTACTCTGTGGCAATAATCGCAAATAAAAATGCTTGTTCTGCAACCCTTGATTGGGTGCCGGTCTGCTCTCTCTTCAGCTAACAGCTAAGACTTATTCGCGGGAAACAACTGCAGCTCAACTCGAACCAGCATACTTGCAGTTAAATTCATTTTATCAGTCCCTTTTGGTGGTACACCTATTACTATAAGGAAGATATATATTCACAAATTCGACCATTTTTATTGTTTAATGTTCTTAAACAATCAATTGATGTCACTGAATAATTTTAGCATTTTGTTCATGTTATATATTTAGCATTATTTTTGCACACAATTCATTACTTTTATAACACCGTGTCTTCTGTTCCTTAAAGCTGTTGTTTCATTAATATGTCAAGGTCTTCAGAAACATGTTCAACTCGCTTCCTGCATCAAATCTAATTCTTATCGCACTTATTCGTATTTCGTCGCATTTCTGTATATCACCACATAAAGAAAGTCTGTTGGAAGTTGAGCTGCAGTTGTTTGCAGTTACACAGAGGAATTCTGCCGATCTGCTCAAATTTGCATCTTTCACTTAAAATTAGGGCAAAATGCCCAAAATGGAAGTGGAACAATTTCAACCTGTCCCTTACAGTTACCAACTATTATTAAGATATTTTTAAAGGACATTTTTTTTGGGTCCTGGCAAACTACTGTACCCAGAACCTAAGAATGTATTTATGATGAGACAGATTGAAATTGATCCATCTTACCAAAGATCGTCCTTACACTTGCACTGACAAACCATCTTTCAATGTTTATAAATGTTTTTAAGTGCATCTATATGTTCAATAACCTATCTAAATCAAAATGTCAATTAGCATTCACAATATCACATCCTAATGAACACACAATTACTGTTATATATGTCTCATGTTATCAACTTGCAATCCAGTAATTGAGATAGAAAACGTTCATAATTTTCGATTATTTTCAGAAACAGCTGACATTTTAGACTCCTCATATACAACTTACCTCCAAAATGTGAGTTTGTGGCTTCTTCCTCATTATACTACTAATAGTACTATCTTCCTCATTATAATTTATAAAATTCCACTGCATCTTTTTCTGAGGAATTCTCCCCTTTTATAGATAGTAATTTCCCCCATATTTTTTATTTTTCGCACCAAATTAAAGAATAATTCAAAATGAAATACCAAACAATTTGTACATCAGTTGCAACGGAAACACGGTAGTGCAGAGGGTGATACAAAGGTAATCGACGCAGCAAAACGAGCCCAAAACAAAATCAAATCTCTTAGGCACTGACCCTGTATAACCTGCTGCTAACAGGCTGGAGACAAAGTGAAACGTTTATCATGACAAAGTGAAACGTTTATCATGACAAAGTGAAACGTTTATCATGACAAAGTGAAACGTTTATCATGAGAGGGATAAAAATTTGTTAAAATCTGTGAATAACTACACGATCATCATCAGTCTAGCTGAATAGCAGACATTTGTAATGAAAACTAGGAACTGCTATATATTTTGTAGATTTTTATTTAGCGCCACTACAAGACACATGGGGAAGTTGGTCGTTTAGCTCCGGACAGTCTATGCAACGTCTATGCAACGTCCGTGCAACAACAAAAGAACCGTCTATGCAACGTCTATGCAACGTCCCTGCACAATGAACACTCTATGCACACTCCCTGCACGGTCAGTCTATGCAACGTCTATGCAACGTCTATGCAACGTCCCTGCACAGTACCATATGAACACCGGCTACTAGCCGGCTACTAGCCGGCTAGTAGCCACTTTTGTAATAACAGCTCCTCAACTTCACATTAACAACCGGCTACTAACCGGCACTTGAAAAGTGGTCACTAGCCGGCTACTAACCGGCTACTAGCCGGCTAGTGACCACAAAGTGGCTACTAACCGGCTACTAAGCGGTCACTAGCCGGCTATTAGCCGAGCTCTAAAGCAGACCTATTAGTAGCCGGTTCTAAACCGGCTACTAGCCGGCACTTGAAAAGCGGTCACTAGCCGGCTACTAACCGGCTAGTAACCACCAAGTGGCTACTAACCGGCTACTAACCGGTCACTAGCCGGCTCTAAAGCAGACCTATTAGAAGCCGGTTAGTAGCCACTTGGTGGTTACTAGCCGGTTAGTAGCCGGTTAGTAGCCGGCTAGTGACCGCTTTCTAAGTGCCGGCTAGTAGCCGGTTTGGAACCGGCTACTAATAGGTCTGCTTTAGAGCTCGGCTAATAGCCGGCTAGTGACCGCTTAGTAGCCGGTTAGTAGCCACTTTGTGGTCACTAGCCGGCTAGTAGCCGGTTAGTAGCCGGCTAGTGACCACTTTTCAAGTGCCGGTTAGTAGCCGGTTGGTAATGTGAAGTTGAGGAGCTGTTATTACAAAAGTGGCTACTAGCCGGCTAGTAGCCGGCTAGTAGCCGGCTAGTAGCCGGTGTTCATATGGTACTGTGCAGGGACGTTGCATAGACGTTGCATAGACGTTGCATAGACGTTGCATAGACTGACCGTGCAGGGAGTGTGCATAGAGTGTTCATTGTGCAGGGACGTTGCATAGACGTTGCATAGACGGTTCTTTTGTTGTTGCATGGACGTTGCATAGACGTTGCATAGACTGTCCGGAGCTAAACGACCAAGTTGCCGACACATGACACATGACACATGAGTCATGACGTGTATGAGAGTACGCACATTTCTGAGAGAAAGTGGTTTCGATATTTTTAATTTTGAGTAATTATTAGATAGACCAATTAAAGTGTAAGTATGAGTTAATGGTTGTGAGGAAGCAAGTTTTACAAAAGAGAGAAGTTATATACACTGTATAGTGTAGTTCAATTCAAGAGATCCATAAATTGGGCGTTGGTTGAGCGCGATATAGAAAGTTTTACTTGTGACCTTGTAGATGATATTTAAAACGAAAGTGAAAGCGAATGCAGTGATTTGGATATTGAATAGAACTGGGACAGTTATTTGAGTTTTTGAAGGAAAATTGTATTTTATGCTTATTAATACTATGCTGAAATGTATGAAGGACCTGACTTATTATTAACTTAACTTTGAATATGTAAAAACAACATCTTCTTCGATGTTGCCGCGCGTAAAATACATCAGCTTATAGTTATGGTGTTTTCCCCGCATCTTGATCTGATATTTATTTTGATTAATTTAATGCATTTCGTTCTGTTAATTATAAATTCCAAAAACAGTCCCTTTATCGTTTTCGAGTTCGAACTTTTCTTGATTTTTTTTCAAATTGCAGTAACAAGATTGTGAACCTTGTATTGTGAATTGTTATATTTATTGATATTTGATTTGACATAACTAAAACTTTCAATGCTTATTTGTCATACAAATTAAAATTCAGTTTCTTGAATAATGGTGATCTTCTCTTAACATTAACAGATGAGCGAAAGAAGCTTAAGCCCGGCGAAAAAGACTTTAGCCCGCGGCGAAAAAGACTTTAGCCCGGCGAAAGAAGCTTAAGCCCGGCGAGAAAGCTGCTTTAGCCCGGCGAAAGCTGCTTTAGCCCGACGAAAGCTGCTTTAGCCCGACGAAAAAGACTTTAGTCCGGCGAAAGAAGCTTTAGCCCGGCGAAAAAGATTTTAGCCCGGCGAAAGCTGCTTTAGCCCGGCGAAAAACAAAAAAGATTTTAGCCCGGCGAAAGCTGCTTTACTCATTTAGCCCGGCGAAAAAGATTTTAGCCCGGCGAAAGAAGCTTAAGACCGGCAAACAAGATTTTAGCCCGGCGAAAGCTGCTTTAGCCTTGTAGGTTTATAACTTACCTGGGGACCTCAGGCTATCATGTTCATTAACATATAGAGATTCGGCGGAATGACAGGCTGAGCGCGGCCTAGTAAGTTTATAACCTACCAGGACGCGGACGCGCGCCGAGTTGGACTCGTCGACGATGGAACAAATATTTTACGAGTATCACCCGTTAACTTTAGCCCAGCGAAAAGACTTGAGCTATTATACTTATAGCTTGGCAAAAGACAAATTTAGCCCGGCGAAAGACTAAAATCTTAAGCCCGGCGAAAAATACTTTAGCCCGGCAAAAGCTGCTTTACCCCGGCGAAAAAGACTTCAGCTTGGCAAAAGCCAAGTGGTAGGACTAGCAGTTTCACTAATTCACTCGCCATGGATTATAGGAAAAGCGCGCTATTTTGTATTTCGCATTGGATATAAAGATGACCAATGATATTGCAGTGTTTAAGTCACGTGCGCGTGATATAGCGCGCTGGCGTGTGATTGAGATCAGATACAAACTTTTGTTCCTTCCTCTTTTTCACTCGCTCTCTGCATTATGCCTTTTGATAAACGTATCGCTACCGTCATAAAAGTGTTTTAATTCTTCGAACATATGTAGCTGATATTGATAAAATAACATATTGTAATTGTAAAATTATTGAAATGTGACGTGCTCTGGTATCCGTATATAATACGGTTATGCTTGCCAGAATTGTGATATCAACTATATATGGTAGAATCTAGGTAGATAAGAATCTGGTAGAATGTAGAATGTGGATCTATTTAACAGTTGGAGGCACGTTTAAGAGGCAAATCGATTTCAATTTCAATTGCCCTTTCAGAAATCTCACCGTTGATAAACAGAGCTACAAATCTAAACAATTGTGAGATTTATCCTTGGCCGTGTAACAAATTGAAATAGTGGTATCTGTTCGCGATGCAAAACTAAAAACAATTCGATATTGTTTTATTATACTGCTTATATTTTACCCTTGACCAACAAGATTTATGCAACCTACAGTGCTTAAAATTCAATTAGCTAATTACCGGCCATGCGTTGCATAAACCATATTATGGCCCATATTCGGCCATTTCGGTCACAAATCGGAGCTTAAATTGAGTTTATTGCACGCGCGTTGGACAAATTGTGTGAAAACAACTGTGCTGTCACAAATAATGCGCGTTATAGAGGTGACCAATGAAATCACGGCATTAAAAACACGTGATATAGCGCGCTGGCGAGTGAATTAGTAAAATCCCGTGAGTGACACAATAGCTGCGATCGAGGTATATTATTATGGAATTAGCTGATTATCCGGAAAAAGCTTCAAGCTTTGACAAAAATTATGAAAATAAAATGTTCTACCGGCAGGACATTTTCAAATATCAGCTTTCCTTGCAATCCAAATTCCAGTATTTTAATTGAATTATTCTTCAATGATTATTAATTTAGCTTTGACAAATTTCGTGACCGCATTGGTCAATTAATGTAAAGTCAATGTGCATGTGAGTGACGTAAATCACAATAGCAGATCGCTGATCGAGGCACTTTTTTGAACGCTGATTCCGAATCATTCCACATGAAATTGCATATAAGGCTAAAATGTCTCGTTAACGAGTTATTCTGATTCATGCTTATTCTTAATTAGCAATAGCGGAGATCAAGCAAACACAGAAGTTTGATAAATGTGGCTGACAAAAGTAATCGGTAGGTGGACCGATTTTCAAAATAATTTCTAGATTTTTTGAAGAATTACTTTAACAAAAGGTAAAGATCATAAGGATTAGAGTCCACAAACCTTTAGATCTAGCAGCATATTTTTAACACACCTTATCTTGTACCTGAAGCAGTGGCGCCGGTAGGTCGTATCAATATCATGGTCTCTCTTCCTCTCTCTCTGCCAAATTTGTAAAAACGTACCAGTTAGTAACAACAAAGCTTGCAGTCCTCGTGTAACATCTTTGTAAAAAGGAAGTATAAATGAAAACTAGCGCCAGTATGAGCAGTGAAATATTAAGTTGAGTATGTTACTGATATGAACTGGCCAGGAGCCCTCGATTACCTTTTTCTTTTTCCAAATTCTTTATGGTTTCAGGTTCCCTTACAATGTGACAAAATTTTCTTTTAGCCTTAATCAGGGTGCTTTACATTTACTTTTAGGTGCCGATCTTTTAGATTTCGTCTTCGAATTTCAATAATTCTATTTCTGGCACCAGGTTCAACAAGAAATTTGACCCCACATTTTATTTCTCCATCAAGATCGCTCCTGGAATGATTCGCACAAGCAACAAGACTGAGTTCGGAATACAGCACAGTTCTGAACGATATCTCTGGATATCGTTTAACGTGCTCGTTGTAATATCCTCTTTGGTCGGGGACTCTATAATACTGAGCGCCTCTCTAAACCGCACGGCCATCAAGCTGCACAAGCTCATCATTGCCATCATCCAACATCTTGCTGTCTGCGATCTGGTGCAAAACGTCCTCAAAGTTGTCCCCCAGATCATAGCGCTTGTAGCTGATGCCTGGATCCTGCCTCCCAGCCTCTGCCACGGTCAATATCACGTGACTGTGTTCTTCACGGGTTTAACTGCCTTCCTAACCGGTGCAATGACATTCAGCAAACTCCTGATCGTACAGTTCCCTCTTCAATCTGCAGCTTGGTCCTCAAGACGTGGTCACGTGATGTGTGCTGTTCTTTGGGTCATCGGATTTTGCCTTCATACCCCACAGTTGGTAGCTAGTTTTATTTATGGTGGAGATGCGATATATTTCGAATATGAGTGGTATGTCT